AATATATTTCTGGAAACATTAGCCAGAGCAATTAGACAAGAGAAAGAAATAAAAGGAATAAGGGTAGGAAAGGAAGAAGTTAAATTATCATTATTTGTGGATGAGATGGTACTCTACATAGAAGACTCCCAAAACTCCACTCCAAGGTTTCTAGATTTAATTACCAAATTCAGTAGCAGAGTTGTATAGAAAGTCCACATTCAAAAACAGTAGCATTCTTGTACACAACAAATTCACTGAGAGGGAAATTAGGGAAACCATATCAACAGCATCCAAAAAAAAAAAAAAAAAAAAAAAATCTTAGGAATCAACCTAATGAAGAAAGTAAAAGACCTTTATGCTGAAAATTATAATACTCTGAAAAAGGACATCGAAGACAATATTAGAAAATGAAAAGATATCTCTTGTTCTTAGATAGGAATAAGCAATATAATGAAAATGACCACACTCCCAAAGTTGTACAGACTTAATGCAATCCCAATCAAAATACCAATAGCATACTTCAAAGAATTAGAGAAAACAATCCTAAAATTTATTTAGAACCAGAAGAGATCAAGAATAGCAAAAATAATTCTGGGCAACAAAGGTAAGTCAGAGGGCATCACAATCCCTGACTTGAAATTATACGACAAAGCTAAAGTGATAAAAACAGCATGGTATTGGCAAAAAACCAGATCCAAGGACCAATGGATGACAACAGAAGGTACAGAAACAACTCCAAACATACTCAGCTACTGTAGTTTTGACAAAGGGGCCAAACACCTTGAGTAGAAGAAATATACCCTCTTTAATAAATGGTGCTTGGGAAAAAAAATGGTGCTCCAAACACTGGTTTTACATATACGAAGATTACAACCAGATAACTATCTCTCACCATGCACTAAACTAAAATCTAAGTGGATCAAAGATCTAAACATTAAAATAGAAACATTAAATCTTCTGGGAGATAGAATATGTACAACTCCTGAAGACACAGGTATAGACAAAGACTTTATGAACAAAGCCCTGATTGTACAGGAAATATCACAAAGAATCAACAACTGGAATCTCATCAAAAAGCTTTTGCAGAGCAACAGAAACCACCAAAAGAGGAAGGAGATGACCCATAGAGTGGGAAAAAATTTTGCCAGCTGTTCCTCAGACCAAGGACTAATACCTAGAATATATGAACACAAAAAAACTCAGAATCCCTAAAATTTAAAGACCCAGTTCAAAAAAGGGCATCTGAAATGAAGAGACACTTTAAAAAAAACATTTATCCACAGTTATGAATAACTGAACTAAAGTTAGCCCAAAACAAGGTTTCAAAAGGTTTCTGTTTCTTAAAATATAATTCAGTTAATAGTATTTCAGTTGTGTAATTTTTTTATACCTAATGTCCACAACTAATGTAACCTTTTATTTAATAGGCATTAATAAAGCATTTCAAAATTGAGGCTGAACAACACCAACATTATACTAACCATCTGTAGGTTAGCGGTTCTCAAACTTTAGAGTGTTACCAGAATCACCTAACGGACTTACTAAAACATAGGTTTCTGGGTACCAATACTCAGCAGATATGGGGTAGGGTCTGAAAATTCACACTTGGAATAAGTCCTCAAGGGATATGCATTGCCAGTTCTGGGGCTGTGCTTTCAAATGTTCCTGGCAGAGTTACTGTTCTACAAAGTTTCTGTGTTTTGTGCAGTGATATTTAAAGACAAGTAATACAGTTAAGGGGAAACAGCCATGCTTAGTATTTAATGGAAAGTAATCTGGAAAATGCTACAGTCACAATACTGTAATGGAGTACCTGGTGATGTAAGCAAAGGTTTTCACAAGTTACAGACTTAGTCTGTGGGGTTGAGTATCGAGACAGATCCCCCACACTTGACTGTTGGCAGTATTAATGATTATAGGGGGAGTTTTTCTCACTGCCTGTAAGGACAAGTAGCCTGCAGGAACCACTGATCCTGTGAGAGCTACTTACGTTTTTTCATGGTGCTTATCAAAAGATAAATACTTTATTAATTAGTTAGGCTGCCTACACTTTACAATGGCATCAAGTAACAGCAACAGGATTAACAGTGATCAACATCAAGGTCAAAGGTATTTAATCATGGTCCAAAAAAGTAGTTTTCATAGTATAAAAAAGGTACAAATCACAAAAATTACTAATATGGCTAAAATAAAGACAAACGCAAAACTAAAATGGAAAAAAAGGGTCCTGTAGAAATTTAGTAAAGAATCATTTCTAGTATATGAAGAATCCCTGGATAAAATGGGTATAAGTATGATACATATGCATTCAAGCTTTTAAAGTGCTGAACAGTGCCCAATGAAAAAAACAGAATTAACTCAGATGACTTAGCATATTGTAAAAGTAGTTTATAAGGCAAACTGAGAACTTAGAATAATTAGAAAAGACAAAAACAGTAAATTTTAGTAGAAAACGTGTATGCTTTTCATTAGATATGGTATTTCACCTTGTGACATAGTATGTGTGTCAGTCTGAGTTTAAAGTCTACTGAATCTCAGGTTGAAGAAAATGTAAGCATTAATCCTTTGATTCAAGAGTGTAACTTTATGCCTAGTTAACTTAGTAAGACAAATGAAGTTGGCTTTTGTTTGGTTTGGGGTGTTTTTAAAATTTTTCTTTGTGGTACTGCTAGGGAGTGCTGAGCTACACACCTGTCTTTTAAAAATGTTTTTACTTTGCAACAGGATCTGTAAGTTGCCCAGGATGGCCTCGAACTTGAAATCCAATGGCTTCAGGCTTCTGAGCGGTGTCCCCATGCACCACCATGCCCAGCTGGAGCTTGTTTTATTGGCGCCCTTTTCTTACTAGCATTTAGGATTTTGGTAATGAAAAATACCTCTTTAGGACTGTAAAGAAAGTGGGCCACCACTGCTATTTGTACTAGTTAAAAGACATTCTTTCAACTATGGGAAAATATAAAAATGTTTGAGTTTTTAAGAATCTTACAAGTCTTTTGGTAGTCTGTGATGTCAAAAGAAATTCTGAGTTACTGCAGCCAAAGCACTCAATAATTTGTACATGCTGTGAATGAAAGCGCTAGAAAAACTAGGATGGCCCCAGGATAGCAATTTCCTTTGTTATCTAACTATATACTGCATCATCAGACTTTTCTATGGAAATATTTTTGGCCAGTCAATCAAGGTACAGCCCTGAAATGTGGCAGCAGATTCATGTTTGCCTGGCCGATTAATGAATTCTCACTATAATGTGGTAATTCTGGATTCTGTTATTCTTCAAGGTATCATTCATACTCTAACTCAAAAAAATTTAAATTATTTACAAAATAATCTTTGTTTCTTGATTTTAAAATTTTACTTAGAAGAATAAAGCTGGGGAAAATTCTAGTTAAATGCTGTATCCGAAGACTATATGGAAGACAAATATATCACTGGATATATATGTTCTTTTGATAATGCCGTGCTCGTTGAATTCCAATAGCAAGTTATCAAGAAACAAAGTTGATAACGATGCTAGCCAAATAATAGGCAGTTAATAAATCATTTTCAGGATTATTTACTCCAGAAATAGCCTATAATCAGTAACATACCCCTTAAAGTAAATTAACCTGGTATTAAAATGCAAAATATTTAACAATATTTGTCAAAGTTGCTATAATCAATAGACAGTGCTACTGCAGAAACATGCTATAATGAATAATTTCTTAGAGGAAAAAAAGGAATCTAGCATTAAGGAAAGCTAGATAGCTGAAATAACAAGAGATCTAAGATACCCTTTCAACTTTTAAATTTACTTCAAATACATCTGGGTTCTAGACACTCTGAATAAAAATATTAATGAAAATGTTAATACTTGCCCTATAGCTGGTAATAATGAATCACTGATGTGACTAACAAAACGGCTTGATTTAACAGTTACTTAAGAATTTAAAAAAGTAAATTTCATTTCAACAGCTTAAATAATTTTAAAAATCTGCTTTCAGAATTTAAGATACAATGATCACACACAGTATAAAAATTTCACAGAGAACTTCAATTTAAGAAGTGTATGCCATGTTTTTACCCTTAGGTTTCTTTAAAAATAGTACTTTAATGTAAAAACTGCTCCACACTCATGTCCTACCAAGACACAGTTTGTACAGTGAGGTAACCTATCTATATTTGTAAGACGAGTATAAAACTCAGAAGACTTGCAAGTTGAATTTGTCATACTGCAATGGTCATACATTGTATCATACTAGAGCACACAGTTTCAGAGATTCTTTAAATAATATATTTTAATGGAACACTTTATATAACCATCAAGTTAAGAATCTCTTTTAGTATGAAAAGTGATGTGTAACAATCTAGATGATCTGAATACTAAAACAACACTGCGATGGCTTGTGTTTAGATGTTTCCCCAAAGCCTCATGCAGTCGTCATAGGTGATACTTTTTTTAGAGGTGACTGGATCCACAGTGCAGAATGCTGGGATTAAGGGTATGGGATTTTAGAGCCCAAAGATTGGTCTGACATAGTTCTGGGTGTGGATAATGGGAAGGCCCAACCTGGCTGTGAATGCTACCTGCTCTAACGGTGTGTAGCCTGTATGGATCTAAAGGGACTGAAAGAAGACAGGCTAGCTGCTGCTGCTTCCTCCCTGCTTCACTGCTTTACTGTCCTGCTGCCTTCTACCTATCATGAACTGTTTCTCCTCTGTGGTGCTTCTCTGCCATGCCACCCTTCCTTGAAACCTCTACAAACTGTGAGCCAAATAAACCTTTCCTCTCTCAACTTTGGGTGTTGAGTATTTTGTCTCAGCAACAAGGAAGGTAACTAAGACAAACACTGAATTTTCAAAGTGGAAGAGCCCATTAGCACATTACATGACATGAAAACAAAATCAGTGACACCAGGACTGATTGTCACACAACCAACTAAATTTCTGTGGGACAGGAGATAGAAACATTTAACCACACCATGGCTTTAAAAGAAAATCTGCTTCAAACTCAGTAGATACTTGCAAGTTAAGGAAGTTACCTGACTACTGGTTTCACTTATTGCTTCTAGAAGTTTTTCAACTGCTGCTTGTAGTCGAGAGCTAATGTTCAGCATAAGTTCTTCATTTTCAGGGTCTATCTCAGTTCCTGCAAAACCACTCCTTACAAGTCGCTGTGACAGGTCTGTGCCTTCCTCAGTTACTTTTGACCAGATGCTACTGTCATTCCTTGGCATGTCACTTCCAGGATAAGAGGGTATGGATTCATCTGTAACTAGAATAACAGCTATGTTAAAGGCATCAACCAGTTTTTTTGTAACCAGTTTTAATTCATAATACTTTAAAGGTACAAAGTCAAGCCTACTTAAAATTTGAAATTATTAAAATGATAAGGTCTTTTAATAACAGCCATGCAACAAAACAAGTAAAATATGTAAATATACAATGTAATACTATTGAATAACCAAGTAAGAAGGAATGAGAAGAATAATGTTATGCTAATAAGACTATAAAATTAGTATCTGGGTTATCTGGTATTTTTTTTTGATGAGACTTTTTTTGGGGAGTGCTAGGGATCAAAAGCAGGCTATTAACTAAGTTCTACTCCCAGCCTATAGAAACTTTTTTTTTTGGTTGTTTTTTTAAGACAGGGTCTCGTTACGTAGTCCAGGCTGGACTTGAACTCACTATGTAGCCCATGGTAGCCTCAAACTCACAGCAATCCTCCTGTCTCAGGCTCCCAAGTACTGGCATTAGAGGCCTGATGAAAACCTTTAAGACAACTTCTAATAGACACTTAACATGTTCACCATGTAGTTTGTTAAGTAACAGGACATACAGGTGAGAAGATCCGGTTCCTATCCTTAAGGACTTCACAGTGTAATGAGAACACAAACACATGAATAACTATACCCTATGGGATGTTCCAGTTATATAGAGAGAAACAGAGTAAGGCCTTATATTTGTCTGGAGCAGACTTTTTCACTCTTGAGCTCTACTGTGGGCAGCATCACTTGCCCTGGCTACACAGTAAAAGGGACAAGATAAATTTGCAGCTTGCTATTTTCGTACGAGGTATACTGGCAAGGAATTAGACTAAAGAGCCACTCTAATTTAATTATGGACACTGTTCCACACTATCGACACTGTATTATTTCTTACAGAGGAAAACTGAATTTACATGGGCAGATCAGTTATGCAAGTACTTCCTCAAAACTGAAGTAGAAACACAGGTTACTCATCTCTGCTATCTAATGCAATACATCAATCAATGGTAGCATGCCACAACCCAACCAGGAAATTTCCCACACGTAAATTATCTACTCTTTCATTACATTAGTACCTGGTAGTTATCGGTAAATATACAAAGTTAACAAAGCAGAGAAAGTTTTAATGTCCAAGATACTTAGATTAAATATTCAGTTTGATACTTCCACCCACAATAAGAGCTACTAGGACAAATATCTGGGCAAAGTAGCTGGTGCCACAAAGACTTCCCACCATCTCATATAATAATGATATCAGATGAAGCTTCAGATAAAAGATTTGAATTCTCAGTCTAACAAAAGAAGTAAAGGAACTGTACATTGAAAATTACAGTACTCTGAAAAAAGACTGAAGAAGGTATCAGAAAATGGAAAGATATCCCTTGCTCATGGATGGGAAGAACCAACACTGTGAAAAGAGCATACTCCCAAAACTGTCACACAAATTTAATGCAATTTTGATCAAAATACCATTAAGCATACCTCACAGAACTAGAGAAAACATTTCTAAAATTCATTTGGAAACAGAAGAAACCTAGAATGGCAAAAGCAATTCTGAGCAACGAAGGCAAGACAGGGAACATCATAATTCCTGATCTGAAATTATACTACAAAGCTACTATGATAAAATCAGCATGGTACCAAGAAAAAAACAGACCTGAGAATGAATGGAACAGGTTAGAAGATGCAGATAGAACTATATACTCAGCCACCTTATCTTTAAGAGAGGGGCCAAACACGTTCACTGGAAGAAAGATAAGACTCTCTAATAAATGGTGCTGGAAAAATTGGCTGTCTACATGCCGAAGACTAAAACTAGACCCATGTCTACTACTGTGCACTAAACTAAAATCAAAATAGATCAAAAATCTAAATATTACAGAAACACTAAATCTTCTGGAAGAGGAAGTAGGCAGTAATCTTGAAGACACAGGTGTAGGCAGAGAGTTCATGAATAAAACCCAGATCACGTGGGAAATACTTCAAAGAATCAACAAATTGAATCTCATCTTATTAAAAAGCTTTTCCATGCAAAAGAAATCACCAATGGAGTGAAAAGAGAACCCACAGAGTGGGAAAAAGTTTTAGCCAGTTGTTCCTCAGACAAAGGACTTATATCTAGAATATGTAAAGAAATGAAAAAAATCAGCTGCCCCAAATTCAAAGACCCAATCCAAAAATGGGCATCTGAGATAAATATGCATTTCTCAGATAAAGAAATACAAAGAGAAAATAAATATATGAAAAAATGTTCAACATCATTGGTCATTCAAGAGATGCAAATTAAAACAACACTGAGATTTCATGTGCCTAGAAAGACAGACAAGGACTGAGAAGGTGCTATGGGTTGGAGGACTGGGAGGTCATTGTGCTCTGAGAACCCTAGAAACAGAAAATGCAGCTGCTGAATACATGAGTTAGTTCAGTGAGTTATTAAATGTGCCTAATTTAGAGGTGACCACTGCATTGCCAAATTATCATAAGGCAGGCCTAAAGGAAATTTTCTTTCTACACAACCTGGGGAGTTCATTTTTACGAACTAATCTAATATTTGCTCAAGCTGAAGTTATTTTACATTGGCTCAAAAATTTCCTTTCAATTTCATATGCCAGCTCACTCTTATAAGGAAGCAAATATGAGCAAGTAAATTATTTATTATTTTTGAGTGTCAACAAGCCCATACAAGTTTAAAATCTAACAAGTTCAGACTTGAAAGCAGAAAATAGATCTCAAGTGTTACAACAAAAAGTCATACATAAAAAACTGAAAAGCAAAGTCACTTTTGTAATCAGATTGATTTAATTTTTTATTATGTTAAACAAGACATAAAAAAGAAATATTTCAAAGGTGTATTTTAGTTTTTATGATAATACTTCCACTAAATATCAGAAGGGGAAAAAAAATGAAGAACTGACAAAAAAATTCTTAAATATAGAGCACATTTTCAACATTTTTTGCTTTAAATTTTCAGTATTTTAAAGCTAATATTTTCATCAACTTATTTTAAATATTGAATGTTTTAAATCATAAATTCTAATACAATATATCCTCAAAATGCAAAATGGGTCTGATACATGCCCCTCAATAACATTAGTGGATTATCATAACTTTATTAATAAGATTAAGATACCATCACTATAAATAAAACCATGAAGACTGAGTTAATTAAACAGAGAGTACACACTTGTAGCCAATGATGCTGATACTAGCAAAATTATCTCTGTTGTAATATTCTGAACACTGTAACTTTTGATTGTGGACTTTTTTACTTATATCATAATACTGTTCTTTCTGAGTCCATCAACTTTTTTACTTGTATCATAATACTATTCTTCCTGAGTCCATCAACTTTAAAGAATTTTCTATAGACATACATGCACACCTATACACAAAATACATATAATTTCTAGACAATAAATGTTTACAGAAGTGAACTGATAAAATTGCTTATAACTGAAAAACCATTATTGGGTATTTTTAAATGTGTAAAGAGGTGTTTTATCTATATTGGAAGATTTAGATATAACTATAAGGAAAGTAGGTGAGTTGATGAAATGTCCTGTTAGGTCTGCTTGCCAAAGAAAATATACATAAACATAATCCTCTCGGCTTGAGAAAAACTACCAACTTATCCTTTTTTATGACTGAGCATAAGTCATATGCTCACTGCCCTAGAAGTGAGTTTGCTGTTATTTGCTAAGTATTTCAATCTTTCTGGGAAATATCTATGAGAACTGCTAACAAAAAAGGCACAAAATGTTTTTTAAATCTGCAGAACATTCCTTTGTATACAGGAATCAATCTGGTCTCAGTTTTACCAGTAGAATAGCAAAATTCATCTCTTAATGATTAAGTGAAACCAGTTAACTGCCTTTACAAAAGTGTAATTTGGTAAACACTTTTATAAGGTTTGAATGTCTCAAAATATTCTTTTCTATACTTTGAGATCCATAAACCAAAATAATAGCCCTTGAGACCCGAACCAATAGGGGAGTTAATTTGAAAATACTTGTACCAAGTTTGGAAAGAGTGACCTTGAAAGGAAGGTTTAAAATTCAGTATTATTTTAGATCTTATGTTACTAAAAGCAGTTTTTAAAAGCATCTTTGAATTTGAGTAAGGTGTTTTTAATGCAACTTTATCTTAAATTCTAAATCCAGCTTTTCTTTACACTTAGAAACACACTCCTGGCCAAGTTGTAATTAGGCAAATGTTCAGTAACTCGGAGTTTTTTCTCATTTCTCCATACTAAGCGTAACAAACAAAAAACTTTCAAAAAGTATAAAAACATTTCCAAAGATCTGTCTCTACCTGGGGAGAAGAGTGTGGATGAGGAGTGGGAGTGAAATACAGGTTTAATTTTCTACTTTAAGAACTAAGGTCCCATCTTTCTGCATCTAGCAAAGATTTTCTCTTCACAGATTTCATGATCTCTTCTCCAGCAAGGAACAAGAAATGAAAAAAGGAAGAGATGCTGCAAGTCAGCAAAGTCACTGAAGACCCTGGCTCACTCAGCTACAGAAAGAGACAGAATCAGGAAGACGGCTTCATCATATCAGGACCTAATACCTCGCACCTCACATACTGTCATATTTCAGACCACTTTTCCAAAAAGAAGAAAGGACCTAACAGAGAATAGCCCAAAGAAAAAGGACAAGACTTGGATTTCTTAAAAGGGCTTTCTTCTACCATTTCAGTAAGTATGTGAGACTGGTACTGGATTCCTAAGAGCTCTTTATTTTGTAGGGTGGCCACAGGAGTCCTGAGTCGCAATATACAATATTTCTTTTGTAAGTGGAGAAATGAAATGGCCTTCTGGTTTATGGAGGAACAGCAAGACCGTGGGTATATATGATGACAACCCTAAGACACTGACTTCCAACTGGTATACAATGATGGTGTTTTGAAGGGTGCTTTTAATGTATTTGTATTTGGAAGTGCATTTATATGAAAATACATACTTGACTATTCTTTCTTCTGTATTTTCCACACATAGAAAAGTGCCTTAACTCAGCAAGATTTGTTGAAGGTGACCACTTAAATACTACATGAAACTAGTACCTCTTGTGTGTTCCTCTGGGACACATGACTTTACAGACGCCTCTGCTTCTGATCTCCAAACCAGGTTGCTAGATGACTGGACTTTACATGATCTATCTAAAATCCCAAGGACATGGCGGCCAATTGTTTCTTCAACAGCTGCTGTTGTCTTTACAACTTCTAAAAGGATCTTCAAGAGTCTGTTATTAGCTTTCTGGAGTGCATACCTGTAGAGACAAAGAATTATTAAAATGTTGGAACTTTTACAAGTATACAATTCATTAATATCTCACAAAAATGCACTATAAAATACTGTATGTGACTGGAAAAATATGTGATATTACCAAAATACTATGCAATGGCACTGACAATAAAGTATTTCTTGTTTCTGATTTATTTTGAAGCTATACTGTAAAATGATTGGTTATCTTCTAAAAATTTTAACCAGATTAATTATAACATTTAAAAAATGTTTTACCTTTTAAAAATGTTTCACTGACATTAAAAAATGTTTTGCTGTCTTGAAACAAATCAAATAATTAAACTTTTAAATTAGTAACTAAGTAAGAAGAAAATTTTAATGAGACAAACAAGTTTAGAAAGGAAAATATCCAAACATAGTAAGTTACCGAGTTTGTAACACTATTCAGTTATTCACGCATATATCTTACATCTCTTTTTTAATGTGCCAAATAACATTTTAAAATACCACTAGAAAAAAAGTGGTACTATATATATAACTTAATGAGGGTAAACTGAGTGTTTAAGTTACAAACAGTAACAGAGATCTGTTTTTAAAAAGATCTATAAGAAATTTCAATCTGCCAACACCAATGGGAATATTACAGGCTGTTTTTGTTATATCTGTTTAGACAAAAATGGCTCTAGCTATACACATGTAACGCTCATAAGAGCCAAAAGAAAAAACCTATTTTCACCTAAATAGAAATGACAGTATTTCTTTTTAAAAAGATAAATAATACATATATTTTGAAAAATTAGAAAGTATTGTTAACTATCCTTTAAAATATTCAACACTTAGAGATGAATACTATTAACCATAAAATGTCTATTTCCTAGATATTTCCCTATGTAAATAAGCATAAAGCATATACATTTTAAAAACAAAAATGTGATCACACTGGAAAGTGTTTCATGTAAGGTATTTTTTTAGCTTAACACGAATACTTTACCAGGTCAAGAAATTCATTTCCATAAATGATAGTTCAAAAGATTACCTGATTAATTTCCTAAATAATAAACAATTCACTTATCCTAACAGCATAGTTAAATGGAAGTACTACAGTAGCGAACTTTATCCTTAATCTATGTGGACACAACAAAGAGATTTCCAAAGAAAAGATCTCTAGGCTTAAGAGAGTTTTTGTTCTCAATAAAACTTCACACAGTAGGAGACTACCACAAGTAGGTTAAAGGATATCTGTTTCACAGGCAGATGGCACACTTATTTTAAGACAAGGTAATAAATAGAGTTTTAGTATTTGGCAAGTGAAAGAGAGACAGTTCTATTTTTGTGCCTAGATCAAGTTCTCTGTTTATGTAAGTACACTCAGAACAAAACTTGAAATAATTTAGCAAGAGGTAAAAGGTTTTATAATCTTAACTATTACTAAGATTTTAATCAAGCCCCAAATGCCAGGAGCAGGGGAATGTGAAAATATTTCTATTTAAATGATTAATATAATGGCAAAAGAGGATTCACTATAAAATGCCTATACACTATAATTTGTAAAATATATAAAATAGTGATAAATAATATAAAATAAACATAGTGTTTATTTTATATTGGCATGGTAACTCTAATTTTCATACACTGTCTTTCTTGTTTGAGTTCCATACTGATTGCGTTCCATACTGATGATCCAATGGGGAAGCCAAAATCTTAGGGGCCATATTCCTCCATGCAAGCTGAGGAAGGAGGTTAGGAGGACACAAAAGGGTTGACAGTACAGAAATTGGAAAAGGAGGAAATTAAGTTAGTAGGTATTAGTTTTAATTTAAAATTAAAGAAATTATTTTTATTTGAACAAAATAAATTTTAAAACACTGTGCTTAAAGGTTCTAATATTAATGGGGGATAGCTATTTTCATACAGTATAGTATTTACATTTTTGTATTAATTTCACAGAAATCTATGAAATGAAAAGTTTTGTTAACAGTGGGTGATTTATTTCTCCCTAAAATTGGAAGACGGATTAAAAATTCTCTGTATTATACTATAAATGCATGAAGAAAGCTACACATGAGCAGAAATATTTCCTTAAAAATAAGGACAAACAAAGCAGGGAATAACTTACTCTGAATGTTACACAGTGGAGCAGAGAAGAAATCAAGCTCATAAGTAGAACTTAATTTAAGACACAAAATGGTATTAACAGATCTGATACCTGAATACCTGAACATTTAGAGTGAAGTGATAAATGCTTAATCAGAAATCACACAAAAAAAAATTTTCAAGAATTTGTCTATTTAATGATTAAAAGCTGGTATTCCTTTATATACTATATATGTATGGGTATGTTTCATACAAATAGTATGATGATATTTTAAGACAAAATAAGTACGTACAAGATAAAAATAAGGATAGTTTATTCCTTAGAAACAATTTTAATTGCACTGAAAAAAGTGCTCATTTTACACACCTCTCATTGGACAGAATATCAGGAGGTACATCTTCAGGTTTTCTGTTCAATTCCTTTTCTTTAAACGTCTGTTCCTCAACTTCCACTTGGTTTTCATTTTCATTCTGTTTCAGTTTGTGTAAAGGCAGAGAGGACAAAACAGAAAGGAAACCAGTCATCTCGGAAAGAGCATGTCATTCTTCATACGGGCGCGAGGTGAAATAGAACCTCTGTGCACATAGTAGATACTGCTTGAAATAATATTTAACTATTTTATTAAGAGAATAGCATTATCAAAATGAGATAAAACATTCCAGTGCACAGATGGAATTTTAATGGGTTCAAACTAATACATGTTATATAGTGTGAAAAGGTTATTCCTTGGTGAAAAAACAGTCGCTGCTATAACAGTGCCAGATTCCAAGTACGTCAAACAGAATACAAGGCATTTTGACTCTACCTACCTTACATGTAAGCAGCCACAGAAATGTTAAGCTCAGCTATAAAAATATACGTTACACCACCAACAAAGACAAACAAATCCTACTGCATTGCTGATCCATTGCTCCTAAGCGGGCCGAAGTCCACACTACCTGTGTTTGCGTACTGCTGTTGCGCAGCTCACAACACAGCTTCTCTCTTCCAGCTAGAGACAGCTGCTTTAGTGCTTCCAGCTCCTCTAAAAGCAACCTCTCTCTCTCTGAAACCAGGTTTTCATTATCTATTGAGGATCTCTAAATAAGAAAAAAGGTCATGAGAGAAAATTGTTTGCGATAGAGGAAAAGAATAGAAACATTAAGCAGATTTCTTTTAACCCCTTCAGACCAAAAGATCTAGGTTCTACCCATGATTTGTATTCCATTTTAAGGGATTAAAAGGCATATACAAAGTTCAATGCAAAATTTAAAACATACAATTTTTTTTTGTTATTTTTGTTTATTGAGACAGGGTCTTCTATGTAGTTCAGGCTGACCCTGAACTCACTATGTAGCCCAAGCTGGCCATGAACTTACTAAGTAGCCCAAGCTGGCCTCAAACTTGTGGCAATCCTTCTGCCTCAGCCTCTGAGTGCTGGAATTACAGCTATGTGCCACCATTCATGGCCTAAGAAAAAAAATTTTAAGCTTAAATATTGGAATTTTTACAGTTCAATTGATACTTTTATGTCAATTTTGCATTGAAAATTCAGAAGTCTGAATTCATAAATACAATGAAGAAAAGCAAAAATGATTTTTCCAAGTGATATACTTTAATGTGAAATCCCAATTTTCTTAGTATTTTAAAGAATATATACTGAGTTCTCTGTTTCTTTTTTGTTTTTTTATTTATTTTTTATTTTTTATTTTTTTGAGTTCTGTTTCTTAACATTTTAGTTTTTAAAATTAAATCTAATAAATTTTTCTTAAGAATTCTTAAATAAGTATTTGCTTTTCTGCAATGACTTTTGTAAGTATATTTTATATAGCAATTGACAAGAATCCAGCTCCCAAGTACTACAGAATGTATTTAAATTTAGTAAAGAAAGGGATAAGAATGTTATATAAAATTTGCATTTCTCAAATCAACAAGAGTGTCCCTAGAAAAAGTTCCAGAAACATACTACTTCAGATTTGCATTCATGATTAAAAAAGACGGATTAAAGATAGGTAAAGGTAAACCATGGAGATGCTGACTGGGGGACTCACAGAACAATAGATGGATACTGGAACACTGGATGGTAGCAGCTATCTACTCAAGCACCTCAGCACAGAGTATTTCCAAAATTGTTGAAGTACTTTTGCTATGTAAGGTCAACTGAATGATTTAAAAAAAAAACAAAAAACAAAAAAAAAAACAACAAGACTAACCGTGAAGCCACTTTTCCAGTGCCTGAAAGACATTGCACACCACACTGTACCTAACAAAATCTAAAGCTGGTATGCTCATGGAGTGTACTCTTGACATTAAATATTTGTAGTACATTCACATCTTAACAAAATAATTCTGCCTTTAATAAAAAAAGCTACATAAAGAATACTGTTATTTTAATTGGAGAGAAAAGGGACTCTAAGTCCCATACCTGGGCTAACTGTCTGTTAAGTCTCTTAATCTCTTCTTGTAGCTGCTCCTGGTCTTCTCGCTGTCTCTCCATCTGGCGCATGTGTGCCTGCCTCAACAGTTCTGTTGCCTGCTGATGTTCTTCATACTGTCGCACAAGTTCCTGCCTCATATCTTCCAACTGTTCTTCATGTAACATCAGCTGTCTTGAAGCATCAATGCTTGATACCAACATCTCATTATGGATCTTAAACAGTTAAAAAAATCACACAGATTAACACATTTTGTGGAAATTTGTCTGCACTGATAATTTAAATAACTATGAAAACAAATTTAACTCAATGAAGCACCTTAAAGTAACTCTTAAAAGGTATTTTTATTAGTGCATACTGATTAGAGAGTAATGAGCTTTGCTGCAGCATTATCACAGATGTGTATAATATACGTTGTGCATATCCTCCCCATTACTTTCCTCTTCCATTCCTACTCCTCTTTCTCTTAATAGTCCCCAAACAACATGAACTGTCCATCATCATTATAAAAAATGCTATTTTCCAAAAGTAGGAAGGTAATTATTTATCAGTCAGTTTAAATCTACTTGTGAAGAAGAAAAATACAGATGCACAAGATTCCTTCTAGTTTTTCTTTTTGGGGTGGTATTAGGATTGAACTCAGGGGCCTGCACATACTAAGCAACCATTGTACCGCTGAGCTATTTCCCTACCCCTAATATTTGATTTTGAGACAGGGTCTTGATAAGTTGCTTGGAATGCCTTGAACTTGTGATCTGCAGCTCTAGTGGGTAGGATTACAGACTTGCTGAAGCTGTAGCTCCATTATGCCTCTTGACATTTTATGATGCAAAAATAATATGAATATTCGTATCTTAAAATTAAATTTAAGAAACATGAGTTTTACCTATTTAATTTATATTATGCAGTGATTACCACAGTACTACAGAGAACTCTTTGATAAGAAAAATTTCAGTAAGTTTTTATTGGGAAACAAAAACTTTGTGTAACAGTTTCTCATAAGAAGTTGACTTTTTAATGGGTATTATGAGTACTTCGACCTCTGAAGAGATGAACAATTCTGCTTAACAGCTGCTGGCAAACTAAAAGTTTTCATGAACCTCTTTAATATGCACAAATTTTATCCTCCATAAAACCTAACAATTTTATTGGAAAATGCCTCTAAATAAGACATAGCCTACCATGATCATTAATAACAAATTTCAATCAGATCACTTAAAAAGACATTACTCTCTGTTAAAGTCAAGAAACAGTTGAGATAATAGATCTTCTAGTAATGAATAAACAAAAGAGAATATACGCAAGGCATGATGGCACGCATCTATGATCCCAGCTACTTAGACAACTAAAGCAGGAGGACTGCAAGTTCAATGTCAGCTTGGGCAACTCAGAGGCCCTGTCTCAAAATTTAAAACAAATAATGGGGGCAGGGGAGCCGGGGTTGTAGCTTAGTGTTAAAATTGCTGCCTCATATGTGCAAGGCCCTGGGTTTAACTCCCAGTACAATAAATAAAGAGAAACAGAGGGAGAGAAGGAAGGAGGGAGAGTCAGATAACATTAGTACAGATACATAAAAATGGTTCAGACTGTCTTTTTTTTGGTCTTTTTAGACAGGGTCTCACTATGCAGTTCAGGCTGGCCTTGAGCTCACTTTGTAGCCCAGGCTAGCCTTGAACTTGCAATGATCCTCCTGACTCAGCTTCCCAAGTGCTGGGATTACAGGTGTGCGCCACCACGCCCGGCTCAGACTGTCTTAAGGAGATAGGTATGATAGATATCTCCTTATATGTTCTTATATTTACTAAACCTTTTCATCACAGATTATTGCCAAATTATATACAATAACTCTTGAATTAGTTGAAACAAAATTAGTCCAGGTGTAAGTCAAAATGAGATTTTAACATGTTCAATGTCTCTAAGATAAACATGAATATTTTAAACCAGATTTATTTTATTTAATACTAGGGCCGGGGATATAGCTCAGCGGTACAAGCACTTGCCTGGCAAGTGCAAGGTCCTGAGTTTGATTCCTGGTACCCAAAAAGAAAAAGAAACATAAAAAAAAAATATATATATATATATATATATACACTCATATATATTATTTAGTACTAATATTGTACCACTTAACCATACTTTACAATTAATAAATCCACAATAATAATGTGAATCACACTCCTACCATCTTGTCTAGTGAAACTCTGTATTGTTTCTAATTTTTTTTTATTATTTTTTATTCCCTTTAATAGTTTGATCAATCTTTCATTCTTACCTCTGGGAATCTGAGCAACTTTGATGAAGGTAACAATATGTAATATAACAACCACTGTTAATTCTTTTCATTTTGTTTTGAAACCCTGTATCATTTTTATTGTTTTAGCTTTGTTTTTGTCCGTGCTGTTGTTATTTTGCTATTATTCTTTTTTTAGTTCTTTAAAATAAAAAACAATGTGAATCATAGTCAAAATCAGACTTGATACCTTCACGCTCTTGCAAACATTACTGCTACTACTATTATAATAAGCTTTTTTTTATCTTGAAAGAGCATACTTACAGATTCTCTGACTATAAATGTTTCATCTTTGGAGAATATTTCTTCTGAAATAGTCAGTCCACGGTCCTTTATCTCTAGCACATTGTCAAAATCATCACTGTTTGATAACACAACTTCTTTTCCATCTTCTCCTAACTCTTTACTAAGTGGTTTAGAGTCTTTTTTAAATTTCATTTCCATTTCCTCAAAAGTCTGAAGACCATCTTGATCCTGTGGTAATTTTATTTCATTGAAATGCTCTTCTTCCTGCTGACAGAGACTGTGAGCTTTTTTTGATGATGTTGTGTTTTCTTTTCCACCAGATAGTCTAGACAGTTCAGTTTGTTGAGCAAATGCTACACTCATTGATACAATGACCTAAAGAAAATAAACAAAAAAGGATTTGACTTAAAAAGACCAGCAGAAAATTTAAAAGCAAGTTACTACTCAAATTTTTTTTTTTTTTTTTTTGCTGTACCAGGGATCGAACTCATGACCTTGTGCTTGCCAGGCAGGCACTTATGCCACTGAGCTATATCCCCAGCCCCTACTACTCAAAATTGTACACATTAGAAAGAAGCCTGGCTTATGATTTTAAACAAAAAGAAACCACATGTTAAAATGATACAGAGAATGTCTGTATTTTTCAATGAATTTAATCTCAAAGTATTTATTTTACTGCCTGCCTTTTGAAATAAAATTTTTTTTCCTACAACTATAATAGATGCTCCACATAAAAACTGGAAAACAAACCTTTATATTTCTTTTTTCCAAGAAAATTTACCAGAAACACGTAAGTAAACTTTTACCTAAACTGCCTTCCTTTTCTGTACATACAGATACAGATACTGATATACATTCTATCAAAAAAGTGACTATGTTCTGCAAGTGTAATTGGTTTTTACAGCTTTGCTATATATAAAGTTTTGACCCAAGAAATACATCTCTATATACTTTCCAATGAATTCAAAGACTCACATTACACAGATGCATTATAAATTTATTCCATCAATTCTCTATTATTGGGTAGATTTATTCCATTCTTATACTATTTTAAACACTACCATGCAATCTGTAGTTCTATCATTGTATATATCCTTTCTTTTTTTCCTTACAATAAATTCACTGAAGTGAGACACACGTTTATAAGACTGGTAAATATGACTACACATTTCAATCTAATCTGCTTCCCACTGCAGTTATGATTATGAATCTGCCTACTTTACTCTCTCCTAACATAGGTTCTTCAAAATTCTAACAACCTTGGCTCTGACAAGCCCATCAGACCTTGAGAACCAAATGCAGCAATGACTTTTTTCAAAGTACCATCTTCATGGATAATTTGTAAAGGGTGAAGGTTAGCTGCCAAAAGCCCAGGATAAAGCATGCTTGGGATCACAAATCCTTGTGCCTATTGACTTTCAGCCTTCTCAAACTGTTCTCCTTGTTAGTCCAATCATATAACTGAACTTTGCTTTGATTTCCTGAATGACCCTGATTTATCTATCTGGGGTCCTGATTCCACTTGGGTCCTGCGAGCCTACTTCTTCCCAGATGCTATATCCTCCAACTGGTGAGTGATGTCCTGCTTCAATAAAAATGGGAAAAGGAAAAAAACAAAATACAAGATACTTATACTACTAGTTTCTTAGTTCACTGAAAAGAAAGTTTTGTGCTAATCTCACTTGGAGAATTTTGTATGCCCATATCTTATACTCTGATTAACTAAAGACAATAATACTCAATGTATTAGCTGTTGTTATTCTATTATTTGGCAATGAAATTTTGTTTTACTTCTTTCTGTAAAATAAAAAAAAATACTGATGATAGCAAAATCAATGTCAATCAATGATTAAACTCATTATTTTATTTAATCCTCATTATAAACTACAAGGTAGGTATTATTATTATGCCAATTTAATAAAGATAGAAACTAAGAAGGGTGGAGATTAACTAATTTGACTCCAAACTACCAAGCAAAGGAACTATGGAAGATGGGCTTTACAGTCCTGAAGTGTTAATTCACTTTCCAAAATAAAATACTGTACTGTTACACCCACATTTGAATGGGTCTGCTTAGAAGTATAAGGCTCAGCTAACATGAGGAATATTTGCAGTATCAAGGCAAATGTTGAGAAAACTGAAAAGCAGCAAGAGTAGAAGCCATCAGTTACCTAATTACCTAATCAATGACAGAGGAGAGATTTGAACCAAAGTATGCCTACTGTAGTGATTAACCACCTAAACATTGGTTAAACTGCTTTTGTCCAGACAATCTCACCTGCCAAGCTGGACCTCTTGAATGCTAGCTCCCAGAAAAGGTTTGGTAATAATGGTCTGGATACTTACCTGGGATATATACCCATTATAATTAAATGTTGAAATAGAGGGATGAAAGAATTAGTTAACTAAATAGTAGGACTTGTGTTACTTCTGGGCAGGATAAAAGAAGCCCACGACAGCCTTTCTTTTCTACTGATAACAATTAAAACCTCTGAACAAAATAGAAAAGTAACCACCAGAGAACTTTGAAAAGTAAACAGAGGCACACAGAGTGTAGAGGAGGGTCAAAACTCAGAAGCAATCTGCATGGGAAAGATGAAACAGAACTTACAGTCTGAATCTAGCTGGATCCACTGCATGTTTTTAAAAAATTCATTCTCCAGATAATGAGAGCCAGGATTTTGACACAACATATCCTAAACATTCAATATACATTTCATAATTAGATAATAATAATTCATTTTTTGTGTGTGAATTCACTATCAGCAGACCTGTTCTAAAATAATTGCTTAAGGAAGTTTTCCAGGCTGGAAGTAAATAACACTAAAGGAAACGACATTTAAACAACAGAATATATAGTCTTTTCCAGTACACATGGTGGACCACTTGCTCAAACAAGATATTTAAAATGAATATAAAAGAAGGGAAATCACGCATGGTATGCTGTTTCACCACAAAGAAATAATGTATTGATTAAGTCAGCAGCAAGAAGCTATCTAAAAATTCCAAAGACATAAAAATCAAACAACACATTGGGGGCTGGGGATTTAGCTCAGTGGCACAGCACCTGCCTGGCAAGCGCAATGTCGTGAGTTCGATTCCCTGTACTGGAAAAAAAAAAAAAAAATCAAACAACACATATTTATTTATTTAGGTACCAGGAATCAAACTTGGGACCTTGCATTTGCCAGGCAGGCGTTCTGCTGCTGAGCTATATCCCCAGCACAATACATTATTTAAGTAGCCCATCAATCAAAGAGGAAGTCACAAAGTAAACTAGTGTAAGATATTTGGATTGAATGTCAATTAGAATGCAGCACTGCATTGTACATAGGGTAATTTATAAATAGTTTTAAATGCATAAATCAGAAAAGAAAGGTCTTTCAAAAAATCTTAAGAGTAAATTAAATCCAAAGAATGCAGAAACAAGAAAATGAGAGTAGCAGTCAATGAAAATAAAAATTAAAACAATAAAAACAATAATAAAACCAAAAGCTGCATGCTTGAAAATATCAATATACTCAATAAACTTCTAGCCAAACTAACAAAAAGGGAAATTAGGAATAATACTATATAGATCCTATAGATATTAAGTGACAAAGGAAGCCTACAAACCACTCTTTTATAGAAATTCAATAGCTTTGATGAAAGGGATGAAAATAAATAGATAACCTGAATAAAATTAACTCAACCAAAGAAACTACATATAGCTTTTTAAAAATTCCAACAAAGATGCCTCCAGGCCCAGGTGATGTACTGGAAAATTCTACAAAATACTTAAGGATGAAATAATGCCAATTCTACATAAATTCTCCCAGAAAATAGAAGAGGAGCTAATACATTTTAATATTTTTTGAGGTCAGCATTATTCTGGTGCTAGATCCAAACAAAAACATTACAAGAAAGTAAAAATATAGATAAAATTCCTCACGAAGACAGACATACATATTCTTGGCAAAATATTAGTAAATAGAATACAGCAACATGTAAGGGACGGGGTTGCCTCCAAAGGGAAATTTTTGGGGGGTGACTGAAATGTGTATCTTTATATCTTAATGTGATACTCGTTTTACAATCACCAGTGTTCATTAAAGCACACCAAAACCTGCACTTAAAACTGGTGAACTTCACATTATGTAAATTATGCCCCAATATATGATTACAAACAAAAGCCTGACCATATGATAGGCTATAAAGAAAGCTGTTGAAATTTTGAAAACTCAGTATGAAGATCACTTTCTTTTGCATTTGTATTTAAATTAGCAAGAAATGACAGAAGTAACTTTACAAATTCTATAACTTGGAAACTACTCAAACCACCTTCTTATTCTCTTTTCCCTTCACTGTACTAACAAAATTCCACTTGTGCCTACAGCTAACTCTGGGCCACCACTGAGGAAGGAAAAAGCCAATGAGGCAAACTGGTCGCACTTAAATTCACACCAATACACTTGCAATGCGCCCTCAGTGATACTGAGCCATTATTCAATTTCCCACTTCCAGTTCTCTCACGTTCTCCCTCCCACCCCTCCCCGCTTCTTTCTGCTTCCATTCTCTAATGTTAACCTTGCATAGTTTTGTGAGAAGGGAAGCAATCAGAAAAGAACTTTCACAGGCTCTAAATATGGCATGTGAAAACACACCTGAACAATGAACCAAATATTTTCTGCCTTCAAGTTCGAACAAAGACCACAACACAGGAAGGACACTGGGAGACAAGGAGGCAGATCTCTTGCAAGTGGGAAGGGGCTTGGAGACTGAGGATGAAGGCGGGGGGTGGGGGGGAGAAGTAAGTAGAATAAAGATAGGCTATGTACAGGAACCTAATAACTTCATGAATGTAAACATTTTATATCATAAACACAAGATAAATTTAATATACCAACAAAAACGAAAATGGGGAAAGGAGAATTAAAGGAGAGATGGAAGTGAGAGGGAAGGGGATTAAAAAAAGAACCACACTATGCACATGTATCCCAAGATGACTGTAAACTGCATGTACTGCAAACATGTACCAATAAAAACCACAAACAAACCCCAAGTATTTTATGCCTTCTTCCTACTGTTACGGATTAAATTGCCATGCTCCTATACAACAGGAACTCCCCATATAACAAATCCCCTCACTGACTCACAGACTCTGTTCCACAACTGCTACTCTCTCTTCTGAATCAGCTGTTTTCCCTTCCTTGCTCGTGAATTATTTGATTTGCAATTTTTCTCAACTTAAACAAAAACAAAACAGCAACCACAAAAATCTACCATTTAGTTCTCTACATCACCTTTTGCTACCACTGTATTTTTCTGATTCCCTTTTAAGTAAAACTCAGAACAGTTCAACTAATTCCTCCCCTTCATGCTTTCAAACTCAAATTAACCAGAGTCCATCTCCACCATCAAATACTCCACCATCAGAGTCCATCTCCACATCAAGTATGTTCTTGGAGGTCACTACACTTTCACATTGTAAAATCAAACAGCTAATTTGCAACTATAATCTTTCATCTATGAGAAACATCCACCATAATTTAATATTCTCTTCTGTTATGGTTGATACATTGTATCAACTTGAAGTCTAGAAGCTTAACTAAGTAACTCAGCAGTTCTACATCCTGGGGTGTAAGGACATGCCCTTATTGCTCTTTGCAGTACTTATTGCCATCTGTGTCCAGATGTCTAGCTATACCAACTAAAATGTAAGGTCTGCAGGAGCAAAGGACTCATCTTTTTTCCCAGCTATCCTCTCTTCAGAATATGGTCTGGAAATAAAGTATAAATAATTATGTATTTTCAGTACTGTACATCAAAATCACAGGAAAAACCTACTGTGAGCTATACGGGGACTCATTATTCCTACTGCGCTGCTTCTAACATGCCTGAACCTTCAGCAAAATGGTTCCAAACTTTTCCAGCATCATACCTGAGGGTATAAGGTGTAGCATAATCTCATCAGTACATGTCAACCATCTGTATTATTCTTGGACCGAGCTGGGCCATCAATGTCTCTCAGGTCATAGTATAATACTTTAGCTGTCTTAAGAATTGTTTTCACTGGCCTATACTTTAGTGTTCTGCTGTTAGCATAGCTGAGTAGTGCTTTGTAAAGTATTTTTATAAAATCAGCATTAAGTAACTTTCCTAAGGTCACACATTTAGTAAACCAGAAGAACAAGAACTTAAATTATAGTGTATACAATATCAAACCTCATATTAATTATGATAGCATGATGCCCTGATATAATAGTCCATTTGAGATATTTATGCAGGAGTTAGGCAGAAGAGGGCATCTGCATTCTTCTCAGAACCAGACAATGGAAGCTATATAAAAATGATGGTGCCTCTTAGACCTCATGGTCCAGATATTTCCTTGGGTCTGGAGGTCTTGATCTCCTTTACGGCTTATATCTAAAACACCTCACCTCCCAAGACCTCAGGTGCTCACAGGTGGGGCTTTGGGAGGTGGCTGGATCATGTGTGTGTGTTATACGCATCACTGGATTAGTCCACTGGTGGATGTACAGCTGGAGTGATGTTGGGAGGTGAAGTTGGTGGAAGAGGTGGGTCAGTGTGGATGTGGCATGGAAGGATATATACACTTACAGATGTAGAAACAGACATAGACCTAGACAGACAGATATATTTAGGTATAGATATATAAATCAATCTATCTATCTATGTATCTATCTATCTACCTACCTACCTACCTGTATCTCCTTTCTCATCCCTTGACCCTGCTCTGCTTCTTGCCTGCCATGCCATGAATTGTTACTCTTCTGCAGCGCTACTCTGCTACGCTGTGCTGTCTTCAGCCAGTCAACTATGGACTAAAACAGCTACAAACTGAACCAAAAGAAACTTCCCCTACTTCAAGTTGTAGGTTTTGGTTATTATGATTCAGCAATGAGAAAGTAATAAAAACATATTTCAGAGTCTAAAAGAGTGACTCTGGCCTAACAGCTGAGGACAGTGATAAGTAAAAATCTACAATGATAGAATATCTCCACTTAGCCAGGAGCTGTTGGTCAGTGACAGTGCTCCCTTAGAGTCTGTAGTTATTATTTAATGTCACAGTAACTTTTCAATACATAGAAGACAATCACTTTCTTTTCCTATCTTTCCTGCTGCTTTCACGCACAAGGTAACAAATATACAGACTTGTGGGTTTCTAATTAATTACTGTCGACATCCAGAAAATAATGTTCCTTCCCCAAGAAAAACAGGAATTTCCATTTAATGCAATCATAGTTGATCTCATCTAACAACTTAATGAAGAAATATATATGAAACGTATAAAAACAAATCACATACCATCAGTACAATCTATGTTTTTCTGAAGTCTCAAAGAGAATATAAACCAAGGTAATCTTCCTCAAAAACAAACTTACCTTAGCTACTTCTTCCTCTAATCGTTCTTGGTACTGTTTTTCTAGCAACTTAACCATATTTGTTTCTTGTTTCACTCCAAATTCACCAGAAAACTAAATTAAAAAGCAAGCAAAATATGACATTTATTTACACTAATTGTATACTAGTTGTTTTTAAGGTCTATTCTCAAAATATTCTCACAGCATCACTATTTCTTGGAAAACTTTGAGATACTCTCAGCAATAAATAAATTTTTATTCCCCTTTAACTAAAAGCCTCATACTAGTGAGTAATTCTCCCAAACAATTATACTTACTATTGTGAATGCAGAAGTACAGTTCAAAAAGATAAACTTATTTATATATTTATAATTATTACCGTAATTCTAATGTAAGTCAGGGATATTTGGATATAATTAATAAGACATGTATATGCATATTTCATCTCAAATAAAATGTTCAGTAGTGGCTGCTTGCTCATGATATTACAAGCAAATTTTCTTGGCATATTTTAATAGGATCCAATTTTCCATAAATACAAATTATTTTCATCAATATATAAAGTAACCTGTTTCAGAAATGTAAACATATTCTCAGTATGAAAGTATTTGTTTATTTACCATTCATCTCAGTTTCACCTGAACAGACATTGCATAAAGGATGACTGCAGAAGAATCAAGAATGTGGCTAATATCTCTAATACTCAGAATGAAGAAGGGCAATCAGCAATTTATTTTCTCTAGGAGGTAGGAGCTAAAAATCTACTGAGTGAAGATGAAGACTAAAGTTTCTCAGTTGGAGGACTGAGAAAAGTTTTGAGAATTAGGACTAATACAACGTTGAGGACAGGCAGAGAGTGGTTCAGCTAGATAGCATGCACTAGAAAAGAGAAGGAACGTTTTTGTATCACAGGCCTCTTGGGAAGGAGGCTTCACCCACTATCCCAGCCTTAGCAATGTGGATTCTGGGAATTCCTAAATTATTCTAAAGATGGCGTGGTCCTACTTCCCGTGATGGGAAGAAGGAAGTTGGTCAGGGCAAAACTGATTTGCAACACAGCCCATAAATAAACAATTATGAAAACAAGACAAAATTTAAACTCTAACATACTTAAGGAAAATGTAACTTTCTGGTTTTTTCCTACGCTGTGAAAATATATTAAGTTTCTTTAGGTCTTCTGTATTATGCTCACATCTGGAAAATATTTATGCGTAAGCCACAGACATAAAAATGAAAGTAAAAAATGAGTCACTGCAATTAACTTTAAAATAAAAAATTAAAAATGATACCTCCACTGTACCATCAATATTCTCTTTTAGACAACTTCCAGCATATACTGTTCTCTGTCCATCAGATTCTTTTATTACCGCTGAATCAATGGAGGAGCTAAATATTAAAAAAAAAGAGGATGAAGGAATTAAAAGTTGTTTGTATGTTTTGCTATTCATCTACAATTCAAACCATGCATAAAATGTGTACTAGGGCAAGAGAGACAAAAATGACAGGTCAGGGTTTACAGATATTGTAACTTAATTTACATTTTTGCCAAATTTTCCTTTTAAAAGTAATACAAATGATGCACAATTTTTATATATCAAATGTATTTTATGACATTTTATAAAGGCTACTATAAATGTATGCTATAGAGCTATTACAGGTACTGGCTTTTTTTTTAAAAAAGAATCTTAGATTTATTGAGGTAAAAAGGTACTATCTCACTTTTACTAAAACTTGTTTTAATACATGTTATGTATATATCACAGAAAAACTTCTGGAAGAACACACAGCAAAAGTAACAGTGATTATCTTTAGTCAAACTGACATGCAGTGGCAATAAAAGCAGATTCTTATTTTAAACAATTACTTTTGGACTTTATGTTTACTCTATTCACATATATCTTTTGGTACTTACGTCCGTATTCTATAGCCTACAATCAGTCAGTACTTTGTGAAAAAGTTGCTCTTAAAATGCTTAACTTAGCAGGTGTGGTGGTGCATGCTTGTACTCCTGACTATTTAGGGGACTAAGGTAGGGAGATTTCAAGCTTGCGACAAGTCTGGGCAACTGAGTAAGACTTTATCTTAAAATAAAAAGGGCTCGGGATGTGTAGCTTATTAGTACAGAACTTGCCTACCATGTGTGATGCCCTGGGATCCATCCCTACCCTCAAGGTAATAAATATACATATTTGTGGGTTTCTAATTAATTCAAATAAACAGACACCTAAAAGGGTTAACTTGGTAACAAAAATGAGGTAAGATTAGTATTTAGGAAACAGAAGGAAAAAATAAAAGGAGAAAATCTGTAATTTTCACTTTTGGAAAATGTAATTCTTCACTACCATTTCACATTGCTTTTATTCCATCCTCCTCTTCCTTACATACCCTACTTTCTCCTACTGTCTTCCACCCTTTCCTTTTTTCCCCAAATTGACCACATATAAGCTATATCACTATCTCATTTCATTACATATAATTAACTTGGGTCCGGGGATATAGCTCAGTGGTACAAGCGCCTGCCTGGCAAGCACAAGGTCTTGAGTTCAATTCCTGGTACCAAAAAAACCACCAAAAAACCAAAAAACATATAATTAACCTGCACTGGCCACTTGGTTGTTTCCAAATGTTCACTATGACAAACAATGCTATAAGATTCTTACAAGAATATCTTTATATCTTTCCATGGATACTTCTTATATAATAAAATCTTATCACTTGTTAAACTATTTGAAATTTAAGTGTAGTACCATATTTCAAATTATTTCATTTTCATAACAGTATCATTTAAATTCTTCCTTAAAACTTCAATAATTTGTAGGAACAATCTTAAAACTTTGTAAGAGTAAGTGTCTTAATTTCTGAGGGTAAATTTTCTTTCAAAGGCTATTATTTGTTTCTCTCCTGCTGTGAAATGTATATTCACGTTTTCTGTCCATCTCATCTTTCTAAATATTTCTCTGCCCTTTCTTGGTTCTATTAACTTTCTCACCATTTTTCCCACTTTTCTGATTGCCCCTTACATACAAAATTCTGATCCTTGCCTTTGTTTCTTAGTTCTTATTTTTATAGCTGAGAACACCATTCTGATTATTCACTCATTTGACCAAAACTGCAAAAAATACTTAGTCCACAATAACCTGATTCTGTGAGCTTTATAAAGTGTTTACTGCCAAAGTGAAAAAAATAATCTAACACCAAATGCACTACTGCTTTCCTACTGATAGAGCAAGAGAGACTCCATTTTCTGTTTTTGACTCCATATTAAGAGAACAAACTTAAAGTTCACTTATGCTGTAGGTGATCCCCACCCGCCTCAGCTGGTTATCAACTCACTTAGAGCAGTTATCAAGTGGGAACAGAACAAAAAGGACAGATTGGGAAGTAGGCTAAAAGTTAAACTGCAAAGAGCATTTGGAATTCAGCTGTCTGACCTGCTGGAAGAAGTAAAGTTTGTGATAACTGTGTGACATTCTTCTAAGATTTCCAAAAATGAGATATGGTTACTATGGAAACCTAAAATGTACTTCATCTGAAGGTGAGACCAGAGCAGGGTGGATATCTTCTCTGGCTCCTGGTTAGACTGCTCATCAGCCGGCTTAATAAAGCTTTGTTTGTTCCTGCCTTTTCGGTATCCTTGTGAGTGCCTTTCTTGTTAAACTTGCTTGCCGTATCATATGGAGGTCCTGGGCCTGAGACTGGCTTCATGAGAAAAATGTCCTCTCCTATGAAGAGGCCCTACGCCTTTCGGTTTCGCCAGCCACTCTTTGGGTAGCAAGGCACCGCAGCTGATTTCAGCGGGCCACCTGAGGACGACAGTGTGCCGGGGTGCTGAGGCTGCACAGACGGAACAACTGAAGCCGCACCCTCCAATCCAGGTAAGATTAAGATTGGAATTGTCTTTTTCTTTCCAGACTGACAATTTGATAGGCCTAGGCTCAGAGACAATGTGGCCATCTGGTCTCAGTGTAGCTGAGAGTTTGTTCACAGCTTTGTCTGTGAGTCTGCTCAGAGCTTTGTCTCTGAGTTTGGTTTGGATTGGCCAAGATCTGAACTCTAAATATTTTTTCAAACTGATAGATGCGATTCATGATTCCCAGGATTGTTTTGCTTTGTTTGTCTGTTTGTCTGCTCTGTGTTTTTCCCCCAAATGCTTGCAGATTTCAGGTCCCACAGCCTTGCCACAGCCTCGGGCTCTTGTTTGGATTGTTGACTGAGTTGGGGAGGAAAGGCCAGCTAAGGTAAACTGTTCTCTCTTTGTTCCTAATTGAGCTATCATGAGCTTGACAGCGTTAAGCCCACCATTCTGGTTTGTGCATGATTAAGAAGATGTGTTTGTGGATTCCCAAATCAAGTTCTGGTAATTGAGAAAAGGTCCCCTAAGCAGAAACCCTGTTTTGCCCTCGGCACCTAAGAAAGATGATCCATCCTTTTGTCTCCCAACTCAGGCACCGCCCCATCCTATACACCCCCTAGCTTGCCTCACGGAGAGATTCCTCTTCAGCTGCGGCACTGACCCTGTGGCTTTCTACTGTCGCTGCGCTGCCGAAGGCAGCCTTCCCCACCCCAAGCCTGTTGCAGATTCTGAGGAGGAAGTCTCCTCCTCAGGTCTGATCCCAGTCTTGCCTCTCTGGCAGGCTGCTGCGATGAAGCAGAGAAGAAACCCTCATTCTGCAATTGGAGAACTATTAAAAACCCCTTTTCAGAGCAAACTCTGGCTTTGATTACTTTGCTGGAAGTGGTGTTTGAGACTCACTGCCCCACCTGGGGTGACTGTCAACAGATAACGTCAACCTTTTTTTCTTCAGAGGAGAAAGCATGTTAAAAGTGGCTGAGAAACAAATGAGATACGGGAAAAACTACACAGGACAAAGAAACCCCAACTGGGATTACAACACTAAGGAGGGGCTACATGCTTTAGAAAAAAGTCATCGGGCTCTGAGGGAAGAGCTTCATTCTGCGGCTGGTTGCACCACTGACCTACATGAGGTGGCAGAAGTGTCACAAGCAGCAGAAACTGGAAGGTACTACAGGGATGAACTTGTCCTACCTGGTAAGAGATCGCCCAAAATTTGTTTCATGACAGAGAAGACACAAAATGGAAGTTTAAGCAGGAACAGAATAAAATGATGTTAGCAACTTACAGGAAGGAGACACAGTTGGGAACTAGAGAGAGAAAAAAGAAGGGCAAACAAGGAGAAGGCCTTCACATTCTCGGGTCTGAACCAATGTGCATGCTGTAAAGAGAAGGGACATTTCAAGCAGGAGTGTCCAAATCTGCTAGACAAGGAGAGAAAAAGGAAGAAGAAAGTGTTTGTGGTGGAGTCAGGGGAAGTTTGAGATTGATGAAGAAATGGGTCCCTGTCCCTCAGCCCCAAGGAATCCATGTTAACTGCAAATGTGGGGGAAAGATCTGTTGGATCTTGAATAGACACTGGCATTTCAGCCAACAGCCCCATTCCTAGGTCAAAAGGAATTATTATGATTCAATCTGGCCAAAATATATTTGAGTGCACTCTGATTTCATAAGCAAATTGTCTTGTATGTTTTTTGTTTGTCTCTCGGTCCAGTCTGTAAACAGCTGTTTTATTTAAGCCCAACAAATTTTTTTTGGTATTTTTTGTAATTTTGAAACAACTGTCTAAAATTTAATTTGGCTTATAGATGAGCATCACCTAAATTAAAGATATGCTTTCACCAAAAGTTGCCAGCTGGTCAAAATGATGTAAAAATTGGTTTTATAAATGTAAGGCTTATTGTTGTGTATGTCTTATGATTTGAGAATCTCTCACTGTTCAAATTTAATGTATCAAGTATTGAGATTGTATTTTCACAGATTATCAAAAATTTGTTAAAATAATTAAACAGAAATCTCTTAGGGTGAGGAGACATTACTAGATAGGACTCTGATTTATAAATGAAGAGCAGCTGTCTGAAATAACATTAACCAGTTTTTCTTCATTAATTAGTAGCCCCAATAATCTTCATAGCCTTATGGGAGACACCTCAAAAAATATTACTCAAAATGTATTATTATGATATGTTTACAATGGTGATTGTCAAAGGTTAGGTTTTCAAAAAGGAGACAATAAGGTTTTTTTTATTTAAAAAAATGCTATTGGTACAAAACTAAATTAAGAAACAAAATAAGGACAACTGGTTATTGTTAATTTCATGATGTATTAAATGTATTTGTGCCTTCCAAATGTACAGTATTCTAAAATGTAAAACTGGTATTGTGTAGAGGGATAGACACTTTTTTTCAGATTCAGACATCTACCTTTCTCCTGTACTTCAGATATTTGTGATAGGAGGTTCATGTCAAGTCAACAAGAGGTCATTAGTCAAATGATAAGTAATAATGAAAACCATATGAATTATTATTTGGACTAATTTAAGATAAAACATAACCTAGAAAGATAGGCATCTGGTCTTTTCAAAGTGTCAAAGCTCTCTTCCATGAATAATTTTAGAGGTAATTCACTACTGACTTTGCTTGTGCTTTGTCTTTATTATTCTATAGTTAAGTTTAATTTTCATAATGCCTTCCCTTTTTACTTATTTCGACATTGTTTTATTTATTTATTTATTTATTTATTTTTGGTTTTTGGTTTTTTTTTCCCCAGTACCAGGAATCGAACTGACGACCTTGCGCTTGCCACGCAGGCGCTGTGCCGCTGAGCTAAATCCCCAGCCCCCTGAAGTTGTTTTATGTTACATGTTGGTATGCATGAATATTTTCCTTTATTTTTGTTTCATGTATATATGATGTTAAGACTTTTAAACTATCCTGTATAATTTGATAAGTCCTATTTGCCAGTATATTAAAAGTAATAATACTATTGCAAATGTTAATGTACACAGTGCTTATTAGGAGTATGGCTCTGTTTAGATAAGCTTCTTACATTGGCAGAATTCTGTAGAAACTTAAGCTATATAGATCCTGTTTGGCTATGAGTATTAGACAAGTCTGGCACTGTGTCACTACAGAATTAATTTGTCTATTTTGTTAGCCACGACCTAATATCTTTATGTTGTTCTTTAGTTAAGTTGCACATGGATACATGATATTTGGGCTTTCTTAGTGCCAAATTTTTGTGGTATGACACAAATAATTTTACTTACCTTCTCTGGGCCTTCTGTTTTTCTGTAGAAATGATGTACTGAATGAACTGACCTTTCTGGTACTTCCTAGGGTATCTTTTCTTTCTGAGAACTTAAACTGATCACATATTCAGAAGCACTTACATGTACAGAATTGTGATCAGATAATCTATTGGGAATTTAAAGTTATGAAACATCCCTACTTAAAAGGACCACATAGTGTGTTTAGGAAAAAAAAATCAGCCAGTTATGTAAACTGATAAAATTAATAACAGCCCAGACAATATGACAAATTTCTTCAGTGACATAAGGACAACAAATTAGGTAAAAGCTCCTTATGTAACTGACTAGAAGACTATTCTATTTCAAGATGGAGATTTTTTTTTTTTTTTTTTTTTGGTTTTTTCTCCGGTACCAGGAACCAAACTCACGACCTTGCACTTGCCAGGCAGGCGCTTTTGCCGCTGAGCTAAATCCCCAGCCCCAAGATGGAGATTTAAATGTGTTACAAAAATGTCATCATGACTGTTACGTTTTAATACTATGTTTAAATTTTCTCTGTAAAACTGTGTAATTACTGTCTGTCAACATTCTACACGATTCATCTATTAGAACATTCATACTTGGTGAGAAGTAGCAGTTCTCTGGCTATACTTTTTATTTCAAGGCTCTTCTGAAATTCAGCAACTGAAGTTTGGAGACCAAAAATTAAAAAGATAGACGGGCTAAAGGGATAACCAATATGGCCCTAGCCCTGTGAAAAATGTCAGTCTCCTTGAAATACTCCTTTTTGCCGGTTCCCAAGCCTGGGACAAATGGGTATCACCCAGTCCAGGACTTTGTAGGCAATGAATGCCCTGCTTGTAACCTTTTACCCTACTGTACCCAAGCCCTATACCTTGCTTAGTCAATTCCTACCTACTTGGACTTGGTATGCTGTATTGGATTTAAATTTCTTTTTCTGTATTCCTTTGTCTGTTACAGTCCAAGAGTTGTTCACTTTTGAATGAGAAGATCCAGAGTGGGGAACAAAAAATGTTGTCTGCTAAGGGGACCCTCAACCCTGCCTCCCTTTTACCGACATCACTGGAGCCACCTGAGCACAACTATGTGAAAACAATCGAGGCAATCTACTCAGCCAGACCGGACCTACAAGCCACACCCCTCCAGAACCTGACTTGACCCTGCTCTTGGACAGTAACAGCATGGTAACCAACAGGGTTCAGGGGGTGGGAGCAACAGCTGTCACGCTTAGGTAGACTGTCCAGTCCAAGGCTTTGACTCCTGGAACGTTAGCTCAAAAGGCCAAACTGATGGCATTTACTTGGGCTTTGGAGGTAGGGAAAGATAAGCCTTACAAGCCCGACATGCCTTTGCTACTTTGCATGTCCATGGTGCCATTTACTGGGAAAGGGGCCTCCTAACTATGGGCTAAAGGACATTAAAAACTCCGAAGAGATACTGAACTTGTTACAGGCTGTTTTGCTACCAGCCATGATAGCCATGATCCATTGTCCGGGTCATCACAAAGGAAATTCCTTAGAGGCACAAGGAAACCCAGCAGCTGATTTAGTAACCGAACAAGCTGCCATTGGAGCCTCACACCCTATGGCCTGGGTCTAGTGGCCCCGCTCAAGTTACCCAAATATTCAGAAGCAGAACTTAAGTGGGCCACTACAGAAGGAGCTACAGAACAAAACGGATGGCAAGTTTTGCCAGGAGGAAAGACGTTCCTTTCTGAGGCTGTAGGACATTTTGTGATCCAGGAGCTGCACAGCCATACTCAATTGGGAAAGACAGCCATGGCTGAGCTGCTTGGCTGTCACTTCTTTATTTCTACACTTTGGATTCTATGTGCTTCTGTGGCAGACAGATGCATGGCTTGCGCTCACAATAATCCCGTTTCTCATCCACAGAAACTGCCCGAAGTTCGCAGACAAGGAATAGTGCCTTTTGAACGTGAAGGTAGACTCTAGAAATCAAACCCACCATTGGGAACAAGAAGTATTTGTTGGTCCTCATCTGCACCTATCTGGGCTGGGTAGAGGCCATCCCCACAAGAACTGAGACATCTAGAGAGGTGATAAAAGCTCTGATAAAGCTAGTTATTCCCCGGTACAGGCTTCCCGTGACAGTGGGTTCAGATAATGGGCATGCTTTTGTGGGTCGAGTGGTTCAGAGCCTTTCCACAGACTTAGGGCCAAAATGGAAGCTACATACCACCTACAGGCCACAGAGTTTTCAGTTCTCTTGTGAGTGCCTTTCTTGTTGAACTCGCTTCCTGTATCACTACAATGAAGCTCCTACCCACCTTTCTGCCTGATTTCACTATGAATATTAATGTACCATCATTCTCCATATTCCCTAGGCCCAAATAACAGAAGATTCTTCATAATTTTCCCCTATGCTTGGATCTTAATATCTTTCCATCAAAATGTTCTGATATTTATCCTTTATTTCCATTTTCCTGGTACCACTCCAGTAGGCATTACTACAGAAATGTACAGTAAAAGTTCTACAAAGACTTGAGTTTAAACCCTATCATGTTAGTTGTATCACTATTTTAAAAATTATTTGTGGGGCTGGGGGTTTAGCTCAGTGGCACAGTGCCTGCCTGGCAAGCGCAAGGTTGTGAGTTCGATTCCCAGTACCAGAGGTGGGGGGAAAATTATTTGTGAAAAATTACGTCAATGATTAGACCGAAGTCCTAGAAACAAAAGGCTATTTTATATATATCTTATTCTCTGTCCACAGCAGTCAGCCAAGGCTCTGACCAGTTACTCATCCAATCTTCACAATGTTAATGATAATATCCTTACTACTCACAGATGTTTAAAAAATTTGCCCATAGTCATATAGCCAGTAAAAGTCACATCAGCAGTCAAATGCAGATTCTTCTGACTTGAAAACAAATGGTCTTTCCAATTCCATAGTATTTTCCTAAGATGCTTCCAGTATGAAGTTTTCAAATGATTATATACTAAAGGACTCAATTATTTTTCTTAAACAATTTCAAGTTTGTGCACAAAGAACTGGGTAAGTTTAATTCAAAATGTGCTAATGTTCTTTCAAGACATGTGATATTTGTAAGAATAACTGGCTCATTAGTATAAGAATGAACATGGCAATGAGTAAAATTCTTTTTTGAGAGGAAAGGTAATGAGTTCATAGTCTTAACTGAGAGGTTTTGTCAACACATTTGAACTGACCGTTACAGACACTATGAGAGAGGCAGTAAGGTGACAGAAGCCCGAAGGTAGGAACAGCAAAGTTACCCTCAATTTCCGGAGAGCTTCCATTTCTTCATGCATGTGGAGGGAAAGCATCACTAATTAAAAGAGAACTATTTGAAGTACAGTGATCAGTTAATAGATTTCTTGCTACCTACCTATTTTCTTTCATATCAGAAAGTCTAAAGTAGTGATTTCCAATGGCCAACCTACAGGCTGTGTGTCTCAGAAGTATCTTGTTACAACTGCAAGTTTTCAGGTCCCATCTTGAGCCTAACTCTCCAGATGGACAATCCAATAATCTGTAATTGTGAGCACACACATACACACATGCCCTGAACCACTAATCTCAAAGAAATCAGAAGCTTTATAAGCTGTACCATTTCTGAATGAACAATTGCAAAGGCACACATAGGCCCTGAATTAAACAGGGACTAACAGACTACTTTCAAAGTATTACGGACATTCTGTATTTTGTCCTCCATCACCACTACAAAAACCTCTGGTAAGGTTCCATCAACAAGTGCCTATGAAGACATCAGCCCTACAACAGCACAGTCAGCCAAAATTAAATTAAATCTTGAGCGTGTTTATGGAAGTAATTATATACTAAAGCATGCTTCCCTAGATTAAGGTATAAGGTATAAAGTATTCATTTAACAAATATCTATCGAGTACCTTCTATGTGGAGGGAATATTATAGATATTCAGAATATATCAGTGACTTAAATGGACAAAGCGCCTACCCTTCTATAGTTTAAAATCCTCCCTTGACATAAACAATGATAATTATTATCATAATTATTATCAAAATAACAAAATCCCCTCAAAATTTACATAGATTTATATATTTGTATATACAGAGTATATGTAATGTTTATAAATCATATAAATAACATGTATGTATATACTTAAAATGCATCATATTAATATAGAAAAAAAATGAAAGGCTATAGGCTTGTAGGGGACAATTTTAATTTCCAGACAGTGATCAAGAAAGGCCTCAAGAGCCGGGCGTGGTGGTGCACACCTGTAATCCCAGCACCTGGGAGGCTGAGGCAGGAGGATCATTATGAGTTCAAGACCAGCCTTGACTACAAAGTGAGCTCAAGGCCAGCCTGAACTGCATAGTGAGACCCTGTCTCAAAAAGACCGAAAAAAAAGAAAGGCCTCACAAAACCATGACATTTGAAAACAGACTCAAAGAGAGATGACAGTGTTGGGCATACAAATACCTGGGAATGAGCAATCTAGGTAGAAGAAACAGCCAATGAAAAAACCCTAAACCTGGAACAAACTAATCATTGGAGGACCCCAAGGAGGTTGTATGGCTTGGGAATAGAATGGCAGACAAGTCAGTAAGAGCTCGGGACTCACTGTACAGGACCTAGGAAGACATTATGAGAGCAGAGGGGCACTGAAATAACGTGACCTGTCTTAAGTTTAAAAAGCAAGGTCTGGCTCCTCTACTGACTATACAGAGAAGAGAAGGAAGAAGAGAGTCAGAGTAACCCAGGAGAGACATGACCATGGCAGGTACCAGGGGGCTGGTGAGGAATGATGCAGTTCAATTCTACACTGAAGGCTTGTTTTTGGTTTTTTTTTTTCACAATTGCTTCATAGATTGGAAGGAAAGTATGAGAAAAAGAGCAAGTCACGATGGATATGGCTGCAGAAGGTGTGAATTCTGAGAGGGCCCAGAGTTCTATTTTGGTGATGGTGAGTTTGAATATCAGACAATTAAGTGAAAGAAATTCAGCCACAAAGGGAAAAATCGTATCTTACATTTCTTGGGTATTTACCATATCAAAGTAGCCAAGCTTATTAGATACACAATAAACAAATACATGCCCACAGCGTGATGTAACCCAGCAGGTTAATAACAACATCTCACTACAAATATAAGGAGAATTTCTAAGTTATATTTTACTCTTAAAATAACCACTACAGAAGATGCTATAATTGTTGCTAAGTTACAAGAACTATTGGACAAAATTGTAAGTAGGTAGATACCTTGGTGGAACTGTGGACTCGCTAACAGTCTGGAGCCTCTCCTGCAAACACTGAATCTCTACTCCATAGTTTTCTTCAGTTTTTTTCAATTGCCGTTGCAAAGAGGATATGAGGTTTTCTAAGTCTTGAACTTGTTCTTCAAGATGTTTGATTTTTTCTGTATCTTGCAGAGATGAAAACGTGCTTTTATGATTGACATCTGTTACAGAAATAGAAGAAAATACATATTTCAATACAAACTTGTTAGTGCAGTAACAAAATTACTTGTGTGTGTAGAAAATAGTTGTTCTTCCTTGAAGACAATGTTTTTAGTGATAGCAACATGTTACAGTTTGACTTGTTCTGATAAAAGAAAACACAAATAGCATGATTAAGATAATTTCTTCCAAACTCCTGCCTGTATTATTGCCAAATCCCAACATTTTATTTCTTTAAATTTAGAACAATTCAGGTATGTAAAATGTAAGAACCAGTGAGAGGGACCAAAGAGATGAATAGTCCACATACTTTTCATTTTTAAAGATGAGAAAATTGAAGCCACATAGATTACAGTGAAATGTTTAAGCTAACCAAGTTATTTCAAATTTCAAAGCAAAAAAGCCAAATTATGGAGTATTTTGTATGAAAATACTAGAATGTGGCATATAATCAAAGTTTACCAAGGTTTTGCAAATTAGTCATCTGAGAATGGGTTGATAAAAACTCGGTTTCCTCTGCTGGCAGGTTTTCTTTGGTAAATTCAAGTTTCACACCATCTGTTTGTTGTCCTTGAACCTTTGAAAACAACAATAGAAAATTACAATGATGTAAATACACTATTTACTACTTCAAAATCTATATTAAAGTAACTGCATTTAAGATGTTTTTCCAAAAGCACCCAGAATGCAACAGTCTGAGATAAATATTTTCTACATTATCTCTGTTCTCTTCTGACAAGACTCATACCGTGTTCTTTTTGTGGAATTAAAATTGTATCAGTAATGTTCTTTAATATCCTGAAAAAAGTTCATTTTCACAAAAATGAATGTTTCACAAAATTCTAGTAGAAAGTTCATCATAATACTTGTGACTTCATCTCTAAAATTTCAATCCCCACAGTTAATTTTTTAATTACACATACTGGATAACTTATTCATTTCTGGAGAGCAGGTGGCAGCCAGGTAATTGACAAATGATATATTTTTTAAGAAACACAAGGAAGGAAAATAATAAAAACAGAAAAATCTTGGCTTGTGGCACATTTTCTTAACTATTAAAACTAGTCATATACATGAGTATTAATTTATTCATTCATCAAATAATAATCTATGTGGTTAGCATTGTGATATCAGAGAATAAGAATATAAAATCACTAAAAATACACTATCTGTCATCCCAGAATTTGTCAACTAGTTGAGGAAATTGAACCATTCTACAAAGAACTAAACTATGCAGTGTGAATTTAAAGCTAATGAAATATAAGAAAGACTCATGTGGACCTGATTAAGTATAGACATGTCAAATTCTATCTGGCCTAAATCTTTTGGGAATGAGGTGGCAAAGCTGTAAGGAAGACAGGTTATGTTATTTCAGTGCCCCTCTGCTCTCCTGATATCTTACTAGGTCCTGCACAGTGAGTCCCGAGCTCTTACTGACTTGTCTGCCATTCTATTCCCAAGCCATACAACCTCCTTGGGGTCCTCCAATGATTAGTTTGTTCTGGGTTTAGGGTCTTTTCATTGGCTGTTTCTTCTACCTAGATTGCTCATTCCCAGGTATTTGTATGCCCAACACTATCATCTCTCTTTGGGTCTGTTTTCAAATGTCATGGTCTCATGAGGCCTTTCTTGATCACCCTCTGGAAATTAAAATTGTCCCCCATAAGCCTATAGCCTTTTATTTTTTCCATATTAATACGGTCCACTTTAAGTATATACATACATTATGTTATTTATATTATATATTACATATATTCTATATATATAAATATATAAATCTGTGTAAATTTGGAGGAAATTTTATTATTTTCTTTATTGTCTCAAGGAAGGACTTCAAGCTGTAGATGGGTAGGCTCTCTGTTTAAGTCACTGATATATTCTAAATATTTATAATATCCCCTCCACATAGAAGGTGCTTGATAGATACTTGTTAAATGAATATACTTTACTATAGGGAAATGTGCCTTAGTATATGCCTGAGTATAGAGAAACATGCTTTAGTATATAATTACTTCCATAAAAACCCTCAAGATTTAATTTAATTTTGGCTGACTGTGCTATTGTAGGACTGATGTCTCCATAGGCACTTGTTGATGGAACCTCAACAGAGGTTTTTGTGGTGTGGTGGTGGACAAAATACAGAATGTCCATAATTCTTTGCAAGTAGCCAGTTATTCCCTATTTTATTTAGGTCCCATATCTGCCTTCGTAACTGTTCATTCAGAACTGGTACAGTCTATAAAGCTTCTAATTTCTTCAAGATTAGTGGTTCAGGGCGTGTGTGTGGTCACAATTACAGGTTATTAGATTGTCCATCTGGATAGTTAAGCTCAGATGAAACCTGAAAATCTGTGTTTCTAACAAGATACTTCTGAGATACATGGCCTGTACGTTGGCCATTGGAAATCACTGCTTTAGACTTTCTGATAATGAAAGAAAATAGGTAGATAGCAAGAAATGTATTAACCCATCACTGTACTTCAAACAGTTCTCTTTTAATTAGTGATGCTTTTCCTCCAAACATATGAGAAATGAAAGCTCTCCAGAAATTTAGGGTAACTCTGCTGTTCCTATCTATGGGCTTCTGTCACCTCACTTAGTCCACAATAACTTGATTCTGTCAACTTTATAAAGTGTTTACTGCCAAAGTGAAAAAAAAATAATCTAACACCAAGTTCATGCGTAAGGGCATTTGTGAAAAAGCCAGTTTGGGGCCTGCCTGGGCCACAAAGCGAGTTCATGGTCAGCCTAAACTATACTGCAAGAACCTGTCTCAAAAGAAAAAAAAAAAAAAGAAAAAGGAGAAGGGGGAGGAAGAGGGGAGGAGGAAGGAAGAGGAAAGAGGAGGAAGAGAAAGAGTAGGAAGAGGAGGAGAAGGAAGAAGAGGAAGAAGAGGAAGAGAAGGAAGAAGAAGAGAGAAGAAGAGGAGGAGGAGGAGGAAGAGGAGGAAGAGGCGGTGGCTCAATCTGGATAAAATGGAGAAAATAAAGCTGGACAAATAAGGCATATCTAAATCACAGAGGGAAGAGTTTGAACTCACTAGACTAGATGGACAAACAATATTACAACAGTCAATGAGTAGCAGAATAAAAGCTATTTCCCATGAAGGCTGTCTCAAGTGGTCACTACTCAGCGATTATCCTCTGCCCTACTCCTACCTTCCGAGTACATTTCAACAGGGGATTTCTCCCCCTACTTCCAAGAGAAAATTCCAGTAAATGCTTCAGTTTCCAGCTCCACATTTTCACATTTTCCTAACTTATTCAGTATGGGTTCATTAAGCCTTCCCTATAGGCTAAGCAAGCACTGTGCCAAGAGGAGGAAATAAAAAGATTCCCTGTTTCTAAAGGTTTAGAATCCACTGAAAGGCTGAAGAGTAAACGCATAATTTCTATAGCATGAGAAAGTGGTGCAAATAAAAGTGTATACAAGGAACTGTGGGAATAGGAAAGACAGAAGGGTTATCAGTTATTTAAGCTTACAGATGCTAAGGGACAGAGGAAGAAATGTCCAAGTCTAGGAGAACATGTCAAGAGGATGACACCAAGGGGCTAATGTCTGAACCAACTATAACTATCAGGAACAAAGCAACAGACTCTGATAGGATGTACAGTGTTAGGCCGAAAGAACAGCATGCAAAAAAGCCCATGGCTGTAAAGACTGCGACTCATTTGGAAAATTGAATCCTTCAATAAAGTTGAAGTGAGGATTTAGAGGTTAGGTAGTAAGGTACTGCAGTCTGGACTCTGACACATCAAACTCTGGGATGCTCTACCCCTGTAGCTAACTTTGTGAAAATGTGAAATTTGCTTGTTACCCATTGTGCAGAAGAGTTAACACAGCCGTCAGAGATGGGCTCTCTTTAGAAAGGTCTGCTGGTAAATTCTGTCGTTGGCTGGAGTCTGTACTTGCCAAGCAGGCAGATTTTTGGTAGTTTTTTTTGTACCAGGAATCGAACTCAGGACCTTGTGCTTGCCAGGCAAGCTGGAGTCTGTAAACTTAACTAGTGAACAGCTCCTTACATTAATATAAAACTTTGCTCAAGTGGTAAGCACGGCTTAGTATGCCCAGATTGTCCAAATGCTGTGGTTTGTGCTGAATACATGCTTTGATTCTGGAAGTCTAGATTTTGGCATACACTGGAAAGAAAGTGCAAACTAACTGATACATGATAGAAAACTGTGGAGTTCTAAGCTTGGTTAAGTTTTAGTAGACAGCACTTTGCACCTGTTGTCACATTTAAACTGGGAGAATTAAAGTATGTCCTATAAGTCTAGTAGGAGAGGAAGCTGTGCCTGATTTCCCCAGATTTTTGTCCCATGCGCCATTTCAAACTTTTCCAAGGCTGATTTTGCTTTGTATCTTTTTGCCATAGAATGTTTTAGGCTTAAATATATATGTTTACAGTGCATGATGATTACATTCCTTGTGGAGAGGTTTTAACTTTCCCTCCCTTCACTCCCTCCCCTTCCATCTTTTTTTTTTTTTTTTGGATTGGAAATGAAACTCAGGACTTTGTGTTTACCAGTCAGGTACTTGTGCCACCGAGCAATATCCCTGGCCCCTACCCCACCCATCTCTTGATCCTTTTCTCATTTGAAAAGATCTCCCTACTTCCTATTATCTTTTATTTTGCTCTTCATTTACATTTTGGGTCTCTCAAATAAGAGAAATTTAACTAATGTGCCTGGTTTATCTCATATAACATTATGATCTCAAGGTACATCTATACTCTTACAAAAGACTCAAGTTTATCCTTCTTTTAATGGCACAGCAGTACTTTTAAAAAAGTACTAATTTTCTTTATCCGTTCATTTTATTGATGAACATATCAGCTATTTCCGAGATCTGGCTGTTATGAATTGTGCTGCTATAAACGTGTATGTGTGTATCATTGTACATGAGTAGTGCACATGTATGACTCTTTTGAAATGACACCTGGAAGGGGATTAGTTGATCAAATGGAATTTCTAGTTTTAGTTTTTTGAGGACTCTCCATACTGGTTTCCATACTAGTTTTACCAGCTTACATTCCCATCAGCAATATAGAAAGGCTCCTTTTTCCCTGGAGCTTTGCATAAATTTGTTATTATCTGGTTTCTTGATGATAGCACTTTTTTCTGGAATAAGATGGAATCTCAATATTGTTTTAATTTGCATTTCTCCAATGGACAGTGTTGTTTGGTATTTCTTTCATGTATTTATTGGTCATTTGTACTTCTTGAGAAGTGTCTATTCATTTCCCTTTCCCATTTTTTAAAATTAGGTCTTCTTTTTTGATTGGGTATTTAATTTTATTTCGATTGAGTCTTTTTAAGTTGGCAGTCTTTTTTGAGTTCTTTATATATTCTAGAATGGATTATAGTCCTCCATCTGAGGAAGGGCTGGCAAAAACTTTTTCCCATACTGCAGGTTGGCTCTTCACTCTGTTGGTTGTTTCCTTTGCTATGCATGAGCTTTTTTGATATGATCCCATTTGTTGATTTTTGATATTATTTCTTGTGCCACTGAGGTTTTGTTCAGAAAGTCTTTGCCTATGTCTGTGTCTTTAAGAGTTTTACCTACTTTTATCTTCCAGTAGATAAAGTGTTTTTGCTTTAACATTTAGATCTTTGATCTATTTTGATTTTAGTTTATTATATGGGGAAATACATAGATCTAGACTCAATAATCTCCTGTATGTGGATAGCCAATTTTCTCAGCACCGTTTATTAAAGAGGCTACCTTTCCTACAGTGTACGTTTTTGGCCCCTTTGTCAAGAATCAAATAGCTGAATGTGCCTGGGGTTGTTTTTCTTTCCTCTACTCTGTTCCACTGATCCTTCTGTCTTTGTGCCAGTGCCATGCTGCTTTTATCATTGTAGCTTTGTAACACAATTTCAAGTCTGAGATTATGATGTCTCCTGCTTTGCTCATGTTACCCAGGATTGCTTCTGCAACCTCATTTGGTTCCATATGAATCTTACGATTATTTTCTCTAATTCTGTGAGTACTGTTTGTATCTAGATTGGGACTGTGTTAAATCTATGTATCAGTTTTGGAAGTACGGCCATTTTGATAATATTGGTTCTGCCTATCCAAGAACAGGGGCTATCTTTACATTTTCTGATATCCTCTTCAATCTCCTTTTCCAGAGTACTTTAGTTTTCACTGCAGAGGTCTTTCACTTTTTTGGTTAGGTTAATTCCTAAATGTTTAATTTTTCTTAATGTTATTTTATGTGACGTTTTTCAAAACTTCTTTCTCAGTGAGTTAATTAGTGTACATGGACACTACTGACTTTTGTGTGTTGATTTTGTATCCTGCTATACTGCTGAATTTGGTTAATTCTAGTAATCTTTTGGTGGAATTTTTTGGGTCTTCTATGTAGAGGATCATGTCATCTGCAAATAATGACAATGTTACTTCTTTCTTTCCTATACATATTCCTTTTATTTCTTTCTGTTGCCTGATTGCTCTGGCTAAGGATTTGAGTTCCACATTGAATAGGAGTAGTGATAATATTGTGCCTGATTTTAGAGAGAAAGCTCTCCATTTTCCCCCATGTCATATGATGTTGGCAGTAGGTTAGTCATAAACAGCTTCTATCAGAATGAGGTAAGAGCATTCTACACCTATTTTCATCATTATTTCTATTGTGAATGGATGCTAGATTTTGCCAAAGGCCTTTTCTGCATCTACTGAGATGATCACATGATTTTTGTCCTCACTTCTGTTTATGTTATATATTACATTTACTGATTTGTATATGGTGAACTATCCTTCTGTCCCTGGGATGAAGCCTACTCATCTTTTGGATGATTTGTTGCATTGTATGCCAGTATCTTCTTGTGGGTTTTTGCATTTACATTAAAGAGACTGGCCTATAGTTCTCTTTTTGTTGGTTGGGTCCTTTTCTGGTTTTGGAAGCAGGGTAATGCTAGCTTGCAGGAATGATTTTCAAAGTACTTCTTCTCTTCTGATTTCATTAAAGAATTTGAGGTTATCACAATTAAATCTTTCTTCAAATTCCTGTAGAATTCAGCAGCTAATCCATTAGGACTGGGATTTTCTTAGTTGGTAGGTTTTTTTATTACTGCCTCCATTTCACTGCCTCTTATTGGATTATTCAGGGTTTTTAAATCTTGATTCAGTTTTGGTAATTCATATGTATCTAGAAATCTATCCATCTCTTTTAAATTCTCTAATTTATGGGTGTATAGGTTTGTGAAGTAGCTGTTAATCATCTGGTGGTATCCACTGTTGTTTCATGTTTTTCACTTCTAACTGCAATGATTTGAGTCCTTTTTTTGTAACAGTGGCTAATTTTGTTCATTCAGGAACCAGCTCTTTAATTCATCAATTATTTGTTTTTTTTTTTGGTCTCAATTTCACTGATTTCTGCTCTGATCTTTATAATTTCCTTCCTTGTACTTGTCAGCAATGCCACAAAAATGATGACTAGCACACAGATCCCTATGAAAACAACACTGTCCTCTAAATATTCTTGCTGCTTCAGTTTCCATACCTTTCTTGAAGGCATAGTAAGTCTACAGCTAATGTGTGATCCTAGTCTATGAAAAGTATAAAGCCAGCATAACAATGAAGAACTGTGACCCTTTCCCACAGAAAATGCAGCTTCTACGAGCAATATTGTTTGGTTTAAAATGGGAAAACATTTGCCACTCTATACTCACCAAAAGAGTCAGGATACTGATCATTAATGGAGCCCAATTTCAAAGCTACGTTCTTCTGCAGATTTCTGAGGACCCTCTGGGGTCACTGTCTGGAGACTCACTGGGATACAACTGAATGCTGAATGGAAAGAACACTTGCAGAACTGGACAGAAATTCCACCCTAGTAATCAGCTGAGTTATCTCTATCAAAGGATGACAAGGGCACTATCCTGGGCTTTTCAAAGTGAATCTAGCAGCAGTCTGAGGTACTGAGGCCGGTTATGCACCTGGATCAATTGCACCAGTTCCCAGGTGTAAGCCTTACCTATATTCCTCAGTGTCTAACCAAAGTTCAGCTAGTATACCGGGACAGATCCTGCAGTGTCAGGTCGTCCGCCTTGGGCAGGGACCAATGGCACTGTCTACTATTACAATGTTAACTCCTATGAATCTTAGAAAACCACTGAACCTAGGGTGGTCTTGGGGACCACGCCTCAGCAGTCACACGCTTTGTGACCTGTCTATTGACATTTAAGGCTCAATTTTTGTAAAGGGAAGTAATAAATTTTTTTTTTTTTTGGCCTTGTGTCTTTTTTCTTCTGTATCAACTACAAAATTGTTAAGGTTCTTCCCTAAATTAGCTCATAAATCATCCCTCCTTTTTTTCTACTTCCTACTGCCATTACACTACTGTCCCTAAAAGTTCAAATTTATAGTATCTACCCTAGGATCACAGGTGCTAACATCTGTAAGATAAAAGACCAGCCTAGAATTTTACGGTTGTTATCGTCTATCCTCTTCGATCTTAGGGTCCATTATTGTTTCAGCAATATGCCCCACATACAGTACACTTCCACTTCAAGATTTTGATCATATCACTTCTCCCACCTGAAATGCTGCTGTTCTCTACGTTTCTTATTCAAACAAACACATCTTTTGTGGTTCATTTCTTTTCTTTTCTTTCCTTTTTGGTACTGGGGATCGAACTCAGGACCTTGTGCTTGCCAGGCAGTTTAGTTGCTTGTGCCACTGAGCTATATCCCTGGCCCTTGTGGTTCACTTTAAGTCCCAATTCCTCCAACACATTATTTCAGCCTACACTCATCTACTTGCTTATTTACTTTCAAACATACTTATCTACATTTCTCTTGTAAATACTCAGTAAATGTTGCCTTGGGCAACTATTTTATAAATGTATACCACATTCCTTGAATTAGTTTATATGTGAAATCAATTTAGGAACACTGTCAGTCTAGTGACTTCCTTTTCATTGTATGCTCCTTCATTCATGGTATAACCTGAAGTACTGGCTAGATAACTGAATGAGAGCAAGGTATGTCTTTCACTTCTTTTGGATTCCCTTTGAAGTACATTTTTACATAATGGAAAATTAGGAGTTAGAGAAGACTTCTCAAGATCCTCAAATTTCTGATTGGATGTCATTCTTCGAAACTGAGTGGAGAAGAAGCTGGCTTAAGGGAAAGAAGTTAATAAGTCAATAAATTCATTCAAAAAAAAAATCTAGACCAGCTTTAAAATTGCTATGTAGTAGCCCAGGCTGACCTCAAACGCATCATCTTCCTACTTTAGCCTCCTTACTACTGGGTAAAGCCAAATTTTGGTAAGTTGATTGAGATGCTCCTAAAGGACTTTTGAGTAGAGCTATCCAATAAGACTCTATAGCTGAGAACAAAGAACCAGCTGCTGTAATTTGTACACTGAATGTCTCCAAAGGTTTGTTGTGGAAGGTTTGATTGAGATGCTCCTAAAGGACTTTTGAGTAGAGCTATCCAATAAGACTCTATAGCTGAGAACAAAGAACCAGCTGCTGTAATTTGTACACTGAATGTCTCCAAAGGTTTGTTGTGGAAGGTTTGGTCCCCCACCTGTGGCATTCTTAAAAGATGGAGGAACTTTTAGGAGGTGAGGCATAATGGATGGAAGCTAAGTCACTGCAGGTGTGACATAAGGGAGATACTGGGACCCGGCCCCCTTCTCTCTGTAGAAAAATGTATAAACATCTTTTTCATGTTCATTTAATTTAGAAATTCCTGGTTGATAATGCAGCTTACAAAACAGGAGGTTATACACGATAAATACACATATTATATGACATACTTTTCACTTCACAGACCTTGCTTAATCGTGTCTGGAGTATCAAAAGTTTGTTATATTCTTCTGCTACTTTGTTGAGAAGAGTTTGCATGTTTTCTTGAAAGTCTAGATAACAAACAAGCAATACAATAATTTAACTCCATAACCAAGGTCCATAGATTTCAATAAATATTATCTACCTACTTATAACTTTAAGAAAATGCTAGAAGTAAATCTCAAATACACAGTAAACAAAAATAAAATATAAAAATGAAACACCTGCTACAAAGCTAACTTGAAAATTTCATTTTAAAATGCATTAATTGTTTTGGTCAATCATTAATTTGTACAACTTGTTCATTATTCATACAAATGGATAGGAAAAAGATATTCGTATCTGTGAGAGAACAAAAATTAAGGTTTTAATCTGTTAAAATAATACATTTTTATTAAGAAAGTAATTTTTAATATCTCCATTTCTACTTATTCAGCTTTAAAATAATATACCATTGACATAAACTTACTAAAAAACTACAGTAGCTTTTAAAGAGTTGAAGCTACAGTACCAAAAGTTAAAGGAAAGAATTAGGATGAGAAAAAAGGTATTAGTAGAGAAATATAAGATAAGTAGACAAGGCAACATATATGGCTTCAATTATTTTCATAACACAATTATTGATTATAAAAATTAAAAGTATATTAAATATACAATTTCATGAATCTGAAAAGAGGATAGGATACTGAGATGACAAACATCTTGGCTGAGTAAATCATGATTAAAAGTAAAATTTATCAACAATTGACTTCAGAAAATTAAATACTGTTCAATAGTATGGTTAAGTTTTCATTACCTTCAACTTTGTATCTATAATTTTGGAATTCTGGTTCTTGATTTTCAGAAGTGTAAACACCAGAATTCTCTCTCTCTTCCACACTGACTTCACATTTTAAAGTAGGAGCATAATATTCACCAAAGACATTGGACAAAGCCTGTTGACAGCAAAATTGAATATTTCAAGAAATTAAAATTTAGATTTCTGACTCTAAATATCATTAAACATTATCCTCATAGATGCAAATAATAGTCAAAATTTCACAGAAAAATCAGAACTCACTCCTTTACATAGTAAACCAGTGATGGCAAACCCTTTTAGAGACGAGTGCTCCAACTGCAACCCAAAACCCACTTATTTATCACAAAATGCCAACACTGTAATTAAACCTTAATACCGAAGTTTTAGTTTAGAAAAACCTCATATACTGTACTAACATCTTTTGTCTTAAAAGAAAAATATATAACATGTGTGCCAAAGGTTCACCACCACTGTACTAAATCAATTTGCTGAAAAAATAATTGAATCTAAATGTTTATTTCTCTAACCTGAAATCATTCTTACATGAGAAAAATATTGATAATCTTTGCTGCACAAACATAATTTTCTTCTGTGTCTTCCTAATATACCTGCACTTTAATCTGTCACTTCCTAGTGTGATCCTATGCTGATGTTATCTTTATATCCTTAATACATCTTTTATCACATCAACTACATTTGAAAAACACTACAGGACAAGGATGGAAGTCCAGAGAAGATAATTAGGAAAAAAGTCTCTAAATTCTAGAGGCATTATATCAAGAGATTATACCCATTAACCTTTCTAAAGCACGAGAGGTTATTTGCTGTGGTTTAGACAGACCGACAAAAAAACCCTAGAAACAGTTGCCACACTGTTCCGGTTGTTCTCAGCAACAAAATAACTCATTTCCTACAATCATTTGATAAGGCCTCCAAACTGAAAGTACCCAACAGCAATGTTTAGATTTGATTTTATTTGTTTTATTTTTTTATTTTTTATTTTTTTATTTTTTTTCCGGTACCGGGAAGTGAACTCACGACCTTGCGCTTGCCAGGCAGGCGCTGTGCTGCTTTTAAACCGAGTGATTATTGCTGCTACTGAGGTCTCCTGAAATTTACTTAACAAAGTATATTTTTAGTAACTAAGTTTATTAAATTTTTAGCGTAGCCCCTAAGATAAAATTTTATTTTATTAGAGTTGGTTTTAGAAACATTTAATTTACAGACATAAAAACTAGGACCCAGAGAGATTATGTAGCTCTTACGACTACCTGAATGATAGTGTCTGTTCTACTGGTGAGATAATTCACCTTTTTTTTCCCTTGCCATGCTGGGGATCAAACTCAGAAACTCATGCATAGCAGGCAAGCAATATACTACTGAGCCATCCCCCAAGCCCTGTTGCTATAAACTATCAGGAAAATTTAAATGCTCATTTTAAGCTCAAAAAGAGTGGCTCAGGTAGCTCAGTGGTAGAGTACTTACCTAGCATGGGTGGTGCTTGAGTTCAATCTCTAACACCCACACTCACATATATATAAACAAACCCCTAATACTCGATACTTTCTAAGTGCAGTTCTAGGAGACTGGGATACTAAGCTGGACTCTACTCATCAACTTACTAGCCAACTTAAAATTTAGCACCTCTTGTCCAAAACCACTTAACTTTTTAATATCTTACCTCTGACACATCAGAACACTCTTCAGACACTGCCTTCTGCAGTCTCCCAATGAGCTTGTGTAAAGGCTTTGCTTCATTACCTAACACAGGAGATGATGCTTTAGTGAATCTGATTTACATGTTTGAGTACTATTATCGTATTTAACCTAGAAGAATTGATCAGTGATGGTGAACCTTTCAAAGCGTGTCAAATTGCAACCCAAAAAGATAATAAATTATCTTACTGCTTATCAGAATTACTTCCAAGGTTGCTTAACTAGTCTTTTCACCAGTAAGATCACCTCATCAAATTTATCCCAATGGTGTCACCTTAAAATTAAAAAAACTTACTGTTATTTCCACTATTTAAAATCCCGCAACCAAGTGTAATGGCACACACCTATAATCCCAACACTTGGGAGACTGCAGCAGGAGGACTGCCACAAGGCCAACCTGGAGTACAAAGAGTTCAGAAAGGCTAGCCTGAACCACATAGCGAGATCTTACCTCAAAAACAAAACAAAACAAAACACAATCCTGCAGGAGGCGCTCTTTAAGAATATACAGAGCTCTTTCTGATAGAATTCTTGTCAGTTTTACCCCCGTCTACTTTCTCAAATAACCTGACCATTCAATTCTTCAAAGTCAGTGTACTCTTCCAATTTAATGCTTAAGACTTCAGAGTCTTCCCTAAATTTCCAACCCAACTACTCCTGTCCATAGCTTCTTCCCATTTCATCCTCCCAGAAAACACTAGACTGTTCTCCTTTCTCTTTCTTCTGTTCACTGTTCTATTTCAGAAATTGTCAGTTTACTTTATATATGCTTTTGCTGATGGACTACGACTTCTTATGGGAAAATGAGGAAGTAATTTTACTTTTCTCAAGCTCTTAAATGAATGTACAATAACTGTCCAAGACTCAAATATACAAGTTGTACAAATATACAACCCTCCCCCATGGGTTCTAAGCATGCCAAAAGCCCTCAGCACCACAAAAAATAAGATTCAGAAATTTACACTTTTTACATCTGTGTACTCCTGATGTTTTGTTTTACTCTCAACATGAGGAGAATTATAAAATAGTGAGCTCTACCCAATTCTTATTTGCTTCACTGGACTTAACTAAGTCATAGACCATTTACCTGTTTCTTGTGTTTTCATGTTTTGTAGCTCTAACTCATGTATTTTCTGAAGTTCTTTGATCTTTTCCTCTTGAGCAGAAACAAGCTCCTCTTTAAGACTGCAAAGAGCTTTGTCTTTTTCATTTTCCATATATTCACGAACCTGATCCACATGAGCTGAGTAAACCAGGGAGAGGCATATGCGCTGGGCTTCCATCTGCAGCCTTAAGTCATTCTTAAAGTGAATGTACGTAAGTGTTAGCAGCTCTTAAGATAACAAATTAATGTAATTTCAGTTTATTTGCATATACTAACTGCAAAAGAGTAACATCAAATTACAGTTTAAAAATTCATAAGAGAACCAAAATCTAATTTTTTTCATTCTTCATCTAGCTGCATTGATCTACCAGTCTTTTTCAAAGAAAGTAGCACAGAATTTTCATTACAAAATGTTTATAGTACATTTTGATATTTAGTATCAAACTACCAGAGCTTAGTATGATTTATCTCTGACCTTGGTTTTAAAATAATATTTCAGATGCAGAAATATGCAAAGAATAATACAATAAGCACTACATACTCACAACCCAAGTTAACATATACTAATATTTTGTCTTTTTTTTTTTTCCATTCCCTTTATATACCTTTTTGGTTTAGAAAGAAAACATTATAAACAAAACTCAATCCACTATGTTCTTATTGTTCCTTCCACATAGGCAACCATAATCACAAATATGAGACCATCTCAATTTACTTTTTATACTATCATGTCTCAGAAATATGTAAATAAAGTACTATATTGTGTATTTTTTGGATTTACAAGGATGGTTCAAAATGTATTTATTTTGCAAATTTATCTTGTCATTCAATATGCCTCTGATATTAAACCATGTAAAATATAGGTAAATTTATTTTAACTGGTATGGTATATGAGTATACCACAATTGGTCCTTTTATTTCTGGAGATCAACTAGATTATTTCTAATTTTTGGATAACTCAGAAAATACAGCAATAAATTCTCACTCACACACCCTTAGACAAATGTTCTAGTGTTTCTCCAGTCCAGTCGATTTCAACTTTAGCAAGCATGAGAACTACCTGGAATGTTTATAAGCTACTGAACACCATCCTACAGTTCTGATCGAGGAAGTCTAGAGTGGGGCCACAAACATGAACCCTAACCTGTGTCCAAGTGATGCTGATTGTATTGGTCAGGGACCACACTTTGAGGATCACCTAGAAATTTAACTGTTAAGTCAGAGATATTGCACATTTTTACCTGTATTTGATTTTACCAAATTATGTTTTTACATAATTATACAATATAATTGCTATCTACAGAGTATAAAATGTTATTTTACTGTTGCATTCATTTGTAAGGTTCAAAGTGTCTTTCCATGCTTATGAGCTAGTTTGGTTTCCTACTCCAAGACACATTCATCCATTTTTGTTCATTTTTAACTTTACTTACATTAAGCATTTTTTATACTTTCTTGATATTATTTATTTATTTTTGAGACAGGGTCTCACTTTGCAGTTCAGACTGGCCTTGAGCTCACTTTGTAGACCAGGCTGGTCTCGAACTCTCAACGATCCTCCTGCCTCAGCCTCCCGAGTGCTGGGATTACATGCGTGCACCACGATGCCCAGCTGTTCTCGATATTATTTAATAAATTCTGATTTGAGGGAGTACGAGGCATGTACCAAAATTTCATAAGAATCTAGATTTGTTTTTAGACTTTCCATGATCCACGATCTCTTTATCTATCATAGCATCAAATTGTATTGTGTTAATGATTTTGTGTTAAATCTTGATATCAGATAGAATACTTATTTTTAAGGATTGTTCTGACTATTCCTGGTTATTTATTCTATGTCAATTTTAAAATCAAAATTTCAAGAACCATGAAAGGCATTCATGGAATTTTGACTGGAAATACACTGAACATAGAAAATAACTTGAAGAGGGTTGATACTTTTTTCATCTTTCACTACTGACATGATAAATATTCTCATATGGCTAAGTCTTTGTGCCCTTTAATGTTTTGTAATTTTCTTAATAAAAGTTCAAGATATCAGGAGTTACTAATTATGCCTAACCTATTAATATTTTTCGCATTTCTTGTCCTGTATTGGCTCAGAAATACTAAACAAATTTGAAATAGTAATACTGACCGTGGTCAGCTTACTCCTACCCTTGATTTTCCTGGGAATGCTTGTAAATTTCATCATTAACAATATTATTTGCTAAGTGCTTTAATATAAACCATCATCATGATTAGTAAATTCCCCACTTATTCCTGATTTCCTAGTTTTTTAGAATCATAAATGAGTTAAAACTTTTTTATGGATTCTTTCCCAGAACACACTTCATTAAAATAATCATATGGATTTTGTCCTACAATACATAAATGTAGAGATCACATTAATAGATTTTTTTTAGATTCAGAACTATTATTTCACCCTTGGGATACTTTGCATATATTTTAAGATTTCTGCAACTATACTCACAAGTGAGATTCTATAATTTTATTTTCTTTCTTTACTTTCTTATTTTCTCACTTATTCTATAATTTTATTTTATTTTCTTGTATTTTCTTATTTTCTTGTACAAGTCTTCACATCAATGAGTGTTTTAAAATAAAATAACTGTTTTTTCTTCTTTCTCTCACTCCCCTTCCCCCTCTCCCTTTAATGTTATTTTAGCAGGCAATTATACATTTGTTCCTGGAGAGCTGATAAAAACCCACACTTTGCCTAGCATTCTTCATTAGAGAAGTGAGAAGGAAAACTTCTGATTACCATTTCAAACCCTTTAATGGTTACTGACTTATTCAGATTTTATGTTTCTGTTTGAGTTAGTTTTGGTAATTTATACTCTACCAAAATATCCTTTAGTTTATGTGTATTTTCAAATTCATTTGCAATTTATTTACAATGTGCATTTACTACTTTTAAAAATCTCTACGGAACTTACACTTAGGCCTTTATTTTCATTCTTCATTTTGATATGCTTTTCCCCTTTCAACATATTCTCAGAGCCTTATCTCACAAGGTTTTAATCCTTTCTGATAATAAATATTCAAAACCTTTCCCCTTTGGCAACTTCAAGTTTTCTTATGTCTGCTCTTTATTATTTCTTTCCTTCCACTTTCTCTGAATGTAAATAGTGTGACACTGTTATACTCTTAAATAGTTTAATAATCAGTATTTATTAAATTGGCATAATTAAGACAAAAATGGTCTTCTACATGCCATTTTATTCTGCTTTTTCAGAAATATTCTTGGGTCTTATCCATTTATTCATCTAGATTAACTGTAAACCAATTAAGTCAAATTTCAGTAATTTCATTGTGAGTGGAATTACAAAAGGCTTGTGGACTGAGAAATTCACTGGAATTTTACAGTATCAAAAATTTCCCACTCAATGATTTGTTTTGTTTTTGTCTTTTTGAGACTTTGTAGCCAAGGCTGGTCTCGAACTCACAACGATCCTCTTGTCCCCGGAGTGCTGGGATTACAGGCATGCACCACCACACCCAGCTAAAAAAAAATTTCCCACTCAAAAGTGAGATGTTTCACTTACTCAAGACTCATGTCCTTCATTACAGTTTTATTTATATTGATCTTGCATATTTTGGTAAGCTTTTCATTTTTACTTTATTAAGGCTTTTCAGTTTATTTGCTTAGTTTTCTTAATTTTTTTATTTAGTTGTAACTGGGTTTTGACAGTTAACTATTTTTCTATTTATACCATGTATCTTTTTGTCTCTGAGATGGTCAGGACTCAGAACAATGATAAACAGTAAATGACAAAGGCTACTCTGATTTTCTTCCTAACATGAGGGCCTATACTGTTTTACTGTTCACTGTTACTAAATGGGCTTTATTTCTCCCTTTACTTGCTCATTTATTCATTCACAAAAATGACCGCCTACCATGCGTCACATATTATTTTAGACACTGCAGGGCCCCTCCTGTAAAGGAACTGATATTGTAGCAATTTCTCTTCTAGTTTCTAAGCTCCAATATCTCTTTCAATTCCCATAATTACCTTCAATTTCAGACCCACTCTTAAACCTATGGAGTCTTTCAGTATAAACAGTTAATCAGTATCTACAAAATTCCTGGCACTCCACCCACTTCCGTGCATCCCAAACACTGACAAGACTTCTGTGATGAATTCTTATTTTTCTCCTCCTGCTCAAACTTCCTAAGTATTTTAAAACAACCTGGAACTATAATAAAACATTATTCATTTGTTTCTTCTCAGTGTAAAAAAAAACTCTTAGAAGCCACATTTATGTTGATCTCAGTGAAAGGATTTGTTCTCATTAGTAGTAAGCGCAAGAGTACTTTTTGTGTGTTGTCTGTATTACTCTAAGCGTATTTAGGCTATTCCTAGGTATTATCTTTGTGTAAGTCACTGCCCACTTTTTCTGTGAATTTTCCTTTTGTGTGCACACACACACAACCTCACTCATTGCTCCACCAACAAGGGATTTGTTTTGGTAATTAAGAGTGGGGCAAGGATAGGCTCGTTTTTCATAATACGGCAAGTCTGACTTATGAACATTTGAACTTTCACAGATATACTGTATAAAAGTCACAACTGTACTGTATATGGACTCATTTTGTTGGTTTACAAATGAATCTGATCTAGGAGCATTCTCCCTGAATAAACTCATTCGTGTGTTGAGACTTACTACATAGTTGATGTGTTAAGCAGAGGGTAGCTGGAAAAGCCACTGAAAGTATCTTTAGTAGAGATAAATAAAAGTCCTTCTAAGAAAATTTGATTTCTGACAGTCAAGCTTCAAGTTCAGTTCCTCTCCCAGTAACCCTTTTTAATAAAATTTTTTATGTCTGACTTTCAATAGTAATTAACACCCATTACAGTTTTGAAAACAATTCTGGGTATTAATACTTTTCCCTTTCAGGTATAATAAATCCAGAAATCTGTAGGACATAAAGTTTTCATCCCCCATGGGAAATATAATATCATAATTACTGAACAACTGTACAGAGTACTAAAAAGCTTAACAATTAATTTACAATGTAGAATCTTGAAAAGACCAACATGAAATAAAAACTCTAAAATCATTCTTTTTGTGACTACAACAAAATATGACATTATAGAGCTACTAACTTCTGGGAAGCTGAAATTCTGTGAGAATTATTAGTATTTTTTATTTCCTGAGCTGAACATAGCAACAGAAAACTAAGAGAGGAAACAACATTTAAGGAAAGACTGTTAAACAGTAAATGAAACCCAAAAAAGAATTGAATGAAAGGTTTAGCTTTTATTCTCTTGTAATGATGCGAACTCATCTTTTATGAAGGTGAAAAAAATTTTTAATATGAAAAGTACATTACTGGGTTTTATCATGTATAAATAAGCGAACATACCTGTTCTGCTCTAAGTACATGAAGTTCCTGCTGGAGTTTATCATTTTCATTTAGTTCAGATGCCCCAGGCAATGTTTCATTTGTTACTGATGACAAAAACAATTGATCTTGCTTGCCTATTTTTCTAATAGTTGTATTTTCAAAAGGATTTTTGTCTTTCAACACTATGTTTGATTCTTCACCAAACTCTTTTCGTATTTCAGAAATGGATCCTCCAGAATCCTTGCTTGTCCTTGCTACAACTCCATCTTCTAAAGAACTTAATTCAACTTCACACTCATTTCCATTTTCTGTTATGTCTCCAGCCCTGTTATGGTTAATTACGCTTTCTAGCTCTCTACATTTCAGTAAAACTTGCTCATTCTCATGCTTTAGAGATTTAACTTCTTCGCTTAGAATAGTAACCTCGCCGTGTTTCTGTTTTAATTGTTCAGAGAGATTTGACAGTTTTTCTGTCAGTTCTAATTTTTCTCGCTCGGTTACCTCAAGTTTTTCCATAAGTTCTGTTGTGTCTTTCTCAACAACCTCACCAACTTCCAATGGCTCTGCTATAAAAGTGTCATCATCAAAGATGGAACTCCTAACTTTCACCACAGCTGGATTTATTCTTTGCAAATGAAGCTTTTCATTAAGTTCTTTAAGTTTACTTTCATACTCTAATTCTTGTTTATTTTTACTATCTTCTAAATCATCTTTTACCTTGAGAAGGCAAGCATATTCTTCCTGTAACTCTTGATAGTTAACTTCAAAGTTCTTTTCAGCAAATGAGAAAGTATTCCTTTGCTTTTCAATCTCTTCACTTAGCTGAATACATTGTTGTTTGAGGTCCTTGTTCTCCTCTGTAAGTATTTCTATCTCTTTTTGCCAGTTATAGCCTATGGATTTAGACTTAGTGGAGTCTATAAAAATCAATCTTTCTTCTTGGTCAGCGGGAGTATAAGTTTTCAACATATCTTCGAGGGCTTTCTTCTCATTTTTTAGAATGCTATTCTCTTCTTCAAGTTGTGTAAATTTTTCCTGAAGATCATCCTCTTTTTCTTTCATTTGTTTCTCCAAGAATTCAGTTTTAAGTTGTAATTCTTGAACTTCTTGTTCAAGAGTACCCTTTTCCTTTTCTTCTTGTCTGAGTATTTCAATTTCTTTTTGGAGTTCACTGATTTGAAGAGTCATTTCTTCTGACTTTGAATTCACAAGGGACTGCTGTAAATCTTTTAGCTTTGAAATTTCCAAAATTAATTGATTCTGCTTAGTTATCAAACTATCTTTTTCAAATTGCATTGTCTCTATCTTTTGACTCATTTCATTCTGTAAGCTATCTATTTGCTGTTTATAGTGAATGCCTAAGTTATCTTTAAGTTTTTCAATATTTATTCGATGTTCAATTTCTAAATCTGCCTTTAGTTTAGAAAGTTCTTCTTCATGACTAAACAGGAGCTGTGTTCTCAGCCTCTCTAATTCAGCTTCTTGTGATTCAGCCATTCTGTCTAACACAGCGTTCTTTTCTTTTTCTAACATTTCAAGTTTTATCTTGTAATTTGTAACTTCAGCTTCATGTTTTAACTCTAGTTCCTTCCTGGATTCAGATGCAGAAATAATCTCAGCTTTCAAGTCTTCCACTGTACTAAGAGACTTATGTGCTTCTTTGAGTTTGCTTTCCTGTTCGGCTATTGTTTGTCTAGCTCTTTGAATTTGATCCCTTAAAAAGCTCAATTCTTCGAAAAGGTCTTCAAGCTGTCCCTGCAAAGCAGACTTTTCTCCTGAAACTACTCCTAGTTCTTCCTTGAGTTTTTCTTTTTGAGAGTTACTATCTTGTAGTTTTATATTCAGTTCATTAATTGCCACATTCATTAACTTTATTTGATCTTCATTAACTATAACATTTGAATATGACTTTAAAGCAGTCTCTATTTCTCCCTTTTGTCGTGTTTTAAGTTCCTCTATCTGTGACACATGTTGTTTTATTAATTCTTGTTTCATCTGAACTATCTGCTGCCCATACATCTCATCCAGCTCCGCTCGAAGTTGTTCTAACTTTCTTTGTGCTTCTTGTTCCATCCTTTGCACAGTGTCAATTTCAAATTGACTATCTTTATGATTTCTCTTCTGAAGTTCTTCAACTGTCCCCATTAACTGTTTTATTTCTTCAGAACACTGCTTTTCTTTTTGCTTAGAATTAGTCAACTCTAATTTTGTATTTCTTATCTCTTGGTTCTTTTGTACAACCTGTTCTTGTAATTCTCCTACTAATTTATCAGCAGCTGTTATTTTATCCTTTAGCTCAAGAGTTTTTCTTTCTTCTTCTATTACTTTTGTATTTAATGCTTCAATGATTGCCTCTTTTTCCTGTATTTCTTTTTTATTTGAATTTTCTACTTTTTTGTCTTGTTCCTTTAAAGAGAGAAAGAACATATAAAAATGTCATTTTTAGCTTGTGGCAACTGCTATTGCTTAACTCTCTGAAAAACAAAACAAAAACCCACCAAAATATCCACACTAATTAAAACAAGTCAAAACTATAACATTTTCATTTTTCTTATTAACTGACCAACACTGTAACTGTAGTGTTTTTGAGTTACAGACTGCATACATGTACTCTAGACTCTCTCAAAAAAAAGCAAAAGATGTATCAAGGTTTCTCCCGTGGATTCCTGTGACTTGAGTTGTCTCATAGACAAGTGCAATGAAATGAGAAAAAAAACAGCAACAAAACAGACTTTTGTGAGTCTGCCTTAATTTCATTCCTGGGCTCTTAAATTAATTAGAAATTTGGAGATATGCAGTGTTTAAGAGTCTGAACTTTAAAAGACACCCAAGGCAACTACAGTACTGATGGCATATCAACTCCACTCTCAACTTTTAGATCAAACAGAAGTAAGAACAGAGAATATATTTTCTCCAGTTCTTATCTGGGGACTCAATTTTGGAACTACAGATAAAGGTAAGCCCAGACACATACCAAAGCATGATCATCATTATTTCAGTGTAAAGCCTGGGATCAAAGTTTTGGCTCTGCTACGTAGACGCACCTCTAGGTAATTATAGGCTGTAGTCCCCAAAACAAAGAAAGAAACAAAACCCAGAAAATCGATCAGAACTTAAGTAGGTAAGTAAAATGCCTCTGAGGAGCCAGGAGTCCTTCACAAACAGGATTTGTAGGCACCTGAACAAAAGTAGTAACACATCTAAAGAAAGAGTATCAAAACCTAAAAAGCCAAGTCTGAGAGAAATGTCCATTCAGGTATAGTCCAAGGAAGATCAAGACGCCATAAGCCTGAGCTGTAAAACTTGCCCTTTTCTTAATTTCAGTGTCTTCCATTTGAATAGCTCCCATTTTTCAAAGAGCATCTCCAGTAGTCAGCTGAGGTTTGAAATGTGGCTCTGTAAACTTATTGCCTATGTACCGACACAATTTTCTACCTCTTGCTTTGAATTTATGTCATCCTATAAAATGGAGGTAATAATACTATTTTCCTGAAAATAAGACCTAGTTGGAAAATAATCAGCCTTGAAAACTAGAGATCAAAAATGCAAGCCCCAGTCAGCCTATCCTGGCCTTAGCTGCCTTCACTATCCTCTCGCTTGATGGCTCCTCTATAACGCAGTATGTACTATCCATCTCCATTATTCATGGCTTTCTATGTATAAATTTGCCTACTTCATAAAATTTACCTGTAACCCTCAAATAAATACTGATGTGCTTTTATAATCACATACAGATATATACACAGCAGCAAAAACTCTGAGTTGCTGTACACACATTTTCAGCTGAGGTCAAACAAGGTGATCACACCCTGCTTTGTTTCAGCTCTCAGGGAGAGGACCACAGGAGAGAGAGAAGGTAGAAGACAAGAAGCCCTGGCCCTGGGCCAGCTGGATGGCGTTTAAATACCAACTCTGGTATCTGTTAGTGTGGCAGCCTCAGGCAAATCACTTCTGAAGTTCAATTTCTCTACTGAGAAACAAAATACAATCTACCAGGATGAGTTACTTTTGGGATTTAAGATTATAATCTATGTGTTATATATTTTCCTCCTATAAGCACTCATCTGATAAGTTCCCCAAAACTAGAACATAATTACTAATTTAGATTACAGAATTCAGCTTAACATATGCTGATCACTTTTAAGAAATACAGTAATGAGTAGTGTTACCTTAAAAACTGTATTACTGTGAGATTCTCAATTGCTTTTGAAATAAATTACACTTAAAAAATCAGTATAAAATTTTGTGATTCACATGCATAAAAAGATACGCACCCATATAAAACCTTTAAAGTTAAAAGCTACTATAAATTGTTTTTTTCCTTAAAATAAACATACCATTTCATATACTTTAATTTTTTCTTGCAAGAAATTAATTTGCATTTTGAAGTCTTCTTTCTTTTTCTGATAATCTTCTAATAGGTGGTCTTGCTCTTCCAGCTGCTGCTGATGAGTCAGGATCTGCTGTTTGGCTTGTAGTAAATCTGCAGCTGTGCTACTATGAGTGCTGTTTCTCAGAGTTTCACTCGCCTGTAACTTGAAAATAGAAAGAAACCTCAAAATAATAAATTCTGAAGAGACAAGAGAACAAGTATCTTTAGGGCATGACTGAACTCATACTGGTGGCTGTCAGGGAACTGTGCTCACTTCACAGGCTTGAAATCTCAGCAAACATGCTGCCATGGCTGACTGGGTCACCTGAGCCAGGAAAAGCAGCTTCCACATGATAAAGCAGAGAAAGTACACCTAGTAAGGGAAGTAAGACTGAGATGACATAATGAGAGAAGTGGGGCCCAAAGACAGTACTTCCTGATTCATGATGACTTTCCAGACTCATTCCCATCCCTTACAGAGGCTTGATTACGTTTCTGCCCTTGAGTTATGTAAGATAAAACTATATCCTTACATCACACTTCTCCCTTTTGCTTAAGCTATTTCAAAATGTTTTCTGTTACTAATGTCAGAAACCCTGACTAATGCAACTAGGTTTCTGTGGCTTTAATTAAAAATAAATTGAAAATATTCAATTCAGTTAGAACCTAACTAAAATAAAACAGGGTCAGCACAGGCAGGATGCAAAAATCTACTCAAGCCATCTGATAAGACTTGAAAATTTCAAGAGAGACAGGCAAAAAGTAGTACAAAGAGAGTAACAGCAAGAAACCAACCAGCAAGTATTGATATTGATTAGTTTTTCCAGTGTGACATAATAAGCCAACAGCTTTGTAACAAATTTAGGTTTGTTCTAGAAAATGAAAATTTTAAACTCATTACCAAAAAAACGAATCTACTAAATTTCATAGAAATACTTACATGCTGGAACTGAATTTGTAATTTCTGACTCTGCTCTGTCAACTCTAAAAACTCTCTCATTGTCTCATCCTTTTCTCTTCTTGCTTGCTGTAAATTAGCAGTAAGCTGGGTTATGATCCCATCTCTTTGTTTAATGGCAGCTTCAAACTCTTGTAACTAAAGGAAACCAGGAAGAGAACTAAGTGCTAGGCTTATTTTTTAAACAGAATTATCATAGGTAACTGTTCTTCAAAAACATGAGATTTTAAACACATTGGCAGAATTCTTCTATCTCTAAGCAACCTTCCATATTTCAAAGCTATTACTTTGTAGAAATTGGCTCTGCTTTCACATCAACTTTGAAAATATTTATCTGCACTAAGGTAAAAAGATACACTTGCTCTGGTTTTTCCTTATAGCTATTTTCAGATCAACAAGTCTTTATATTGTGGGGTGCTCCTGATCTGTCCCGAGGCAACACCACCAGACAAATTTAATTCCAACATGCTTTTGAAAAGGATGAAATAGAAATACACTATTCATACTCATCAATGTCCCATTTCATCTGGATTTCATAACTGATTGTTCTATATATCAGATGTTATTTTAACTACAGATATTATAAAGAATAGCTGACATTCTTAATGGGTTTAAGCCAATTTTTTATAGATGCACTATAATTTTCTCTCAGGCTGATTAGAAAACATCTGTCTTGATGAAGTGATTTCACTGTAGCTATCACATGAAGCTAAATGTATGAAATACACCTATTTTAGCTAAGTGGAATCCTAGTTTTAAATCGGGTGGTTCATGCCACAATGTAAGCACAAATGTTATGAGATAACCTTAAGTAATCACTTAGAAATCCCATCTTTCGAGCATATACAGATACTATCATTCAAATTCTCCATTTCTGGTTTTGTAAGTAGCAAACCAAAAGCCACAGAAAGTACCTGCTGCAGTCCTTCAGTCCCATAGGCAGCCCTCATTTCTTCTAGTTCTCTGTTTAGCTCTTCAATCTCATGCTGTTTCCCAGCCAATTCACTTTCCATCATCTCTAGATGGGTCTGACTATACTGTGCACCTTGTTCAGAATAAGAATCATCAACACCAAATTCTTCTTCCTAAATCAATCCAAGATTTTAAATAATTCAGTACTAGCAACACTGCTTAGAAAAAGGTATTCAAATATTGAATTTCATAGCAAAGTCCACTTTAAAACATCACTTCTCCTACAAAATTTGCTGCGATGGCAATGTACTTTGTTGTAAATGTGGAATGTACCTCAACAGCATAAACAGGGTATCTACAAATTTTGCTTTGAACATTACAATACAAAGTGGCTAACTTATTAAATATTGAAAGCACTGAAAAAAATCACATACAGAAAGAAGTACATGCAGGAAAAAACTGTTAGTAAGTCAGATGGTCTTAAATAGTATAAAACATTAGTATTATGAATAGTTTCAAATACTGTACCCTTATTAAATTTGTAGGCTTTCCTGTTTTCACCAAAAAACTGCAACCATTTACCTGTATAAAAACAATTTCCTGATATATTATGATCTTAGACAGAACTTTATTTACCTAACAATATTATTTCTACTACACGTGTTTTTATCTTTTACATCTAGGGAAAATGTCCTATTGACAAAAACAGATACAGTAATTAAATATAACTGAAGTATTTAAAAAAAGATTATGATCATTTCAAATGCTAATCATTCCTCAAACATGAGTGCTTTTAATGCAAAAGACACTACACTACAGGTTTTCATTTAAGTAAATTAAAGTTCTAGGTGCAGTTTCTATTTGGTTTCAGAAGGACAACTCTACTCAAGTTACTAAATCCTTTTCTATTAAAATCCTTTCTTAACATCATTTATAATAGTTGTTTTTCTTAAGCCCTATTCATTTTCAAGTAAAACTATTTACTGCCATAATTTTCTTAAGGGGCTAGTAAGCAAGCCAAGTGAAAGCAAGGGACATGAAAAGGTGCAGGACACTGCCTCAACAACTTCCTCTGGGGAGAGTACTACTGATATTCACGCCAACTCTGGCAGACGGGGAGGTTTAACATATCACCACTTGTCTCTATAGTAGTTTACAGTAAGAGAAAGAACAACAACAGCATATGTCTACAGGTTTACTTAGTGGGAAATTAATTTCAGGTCAATTAATCCACTTAATAATTCCTTCTTTTCCACTGATAGTACAGAAACCAATTTCAACCTGCCCATATCTATTACAGTCCTATGTTAACAGAACCAAAGGTAATGAAACTTACTATAAAAATATGTAGGATAGAATAACCTAGAATAAGGATTACATCCATATAGGGCATAGTACTTTAAAAAGTGAAAACTTTGGGGATGTAGCGCAGTAGCAGAGGACTTGTCTAGTGTGTGCAAGGCCCTAGGTTCTATCCCTAGCTAAGAAAGGAAGCTAGCTAGCTAATTATATGTACAAATATGAGTTCTTTATCAGAGTTGAATTATTTTGAAAAATGAAGTTGAATTGCTGAAGATGTAGTTCAGCAATGAAGTGCTTGCCTAGCATGCAGAAAAGGCTGTAGGATCAATCACAGAAAGGAAGGAAGGAAGGAAAGGAGGGAGGGAGGGAGGAAGGAAGACAGAAAGAGAGGAGGGGAGAAAGAAAGAAAGAGAAAACACATTATTTAACTGGGGAAAATTACCAGAATGCAAGACGCTTACTCTTATTAAAATTATTAATATCAAGGCACTTATAAATTTTTACTTTGAAGTAACAGTATAATAAAATGGATGTTTACATATGTATCTCATATTATGCAAAGGATATTCCTTCAAGTTCTGATGTTATCAGTATTATTTATATGTCATCCACTTATAATTAATAATGTACTTAATACATTCTACAGCTAGTCAGCAGTTTAATTCTTCGCTAATTCAGTTAAGCAAATTTCATGCTGCCTCTCAGTGGGGTGGTCAGGTTGCGTCTTTTGGTCATCAGGTAGCCCACTGCAGAGTTTCCTCTACGTGTCTGGGCCTTTATGATCTACTCCAGGTTGGCTGCCCACCCATAAACACTTGTTGCAGTGCAGGAGGGTGCGGACACAAGCCTGTAGGAGACTGTCACTTACTCAACCTTCTTACCTACAGTTTCTTTCATGAGCTTGCAGAGGTTTTCAAATTTCCTGTTGCTTTCCTGTTTTCTTCTCCTTCCCATCTTCAGTTATTTTTGGCCTTCCTTGCTAACCTAACTGACACCAGTCTTTCTCCAACAAACCCCAGAGCTGCTCAACACAGGACTTACCAAGAGTCCCAGTCATAGATACCGTCTCAAAGTGCCACTTCTGTAGTTGGTCCTCAAAGAGTCACCTGCTTTTTGTTATTGCCAGCGATGTAACAGAGGGACTTCTGCAACTCTTTCACATGACAGACATACTGTGACAAAGATGTCATCCCTCCTCTAGACTGAGAGGTGTGACAGACAGCACAGCAAATCAGAAAGATGTTGCCAGTTACTGGAACCCTCAGGGATTCCAAGTTTTAGATTTTGTAGAAAATACCTCATAGAATTTCTTGTACTTCTCTTTACATTCTTTCAGCTCAAAGAAGAGCTCAAGGCACTTCTTTACAATGTTTTTGCAAATAACTTTCATGATTGTGCTCTGGTGGAGTATTTTCTTAGGGAGATGTTCAGGACCAGGTCCTCAGAAGCAACCGTACTGATGAAACTGAAATGCTACGATATCAATTCCTCACAGCTGTCCATGATGAACACATAACAGGTGGAGTCTGATGTTCTTCTTGTTGTTCTCAGAGGTCAAACAGAACCCGCCAAGGGATGACTAGCAAGCAATACCTTGAATTCCAACTGACCTTCCACAGAAAAGTGCCTAGCTGCCAACTGGTTTTCCCAGTCACTGATAAGGCTCTTGTAGAAATCTTCGCACTCCTGAATGAAGTCATCGTGATTTCCAACTCAAATGGGCTTAGTCTTATTCAGTTTTTCCTGATTAACATATTTCTCCTTGCTCATCTCTGCTATCTTGTTCTTATCCTTTCCCATCGTCATCCTCCTCATCTGAGCCCACGTCTTCAATTGTGGGCTTTGCCTTACCACCCTTAACTTCCTCTTCTTTGTCATCTTTCTCTTCTTCTGCCTGTCATCACTGATTTCTTTCTCCCAAATTTTCTACAAGTAAAAGGTAACAGGATATAGTTGGGAATAGTGACTGTTTTCACTTCTTTGAACTACTATTCCTCTAAATACTCTGTCTGGTCTTCTTTAAGGGAGAGGACTACCTTGGCACCCCAGCCAACAGACCCAAGGAGGTTGACAGATATAATGAAGGATGCCCCAGCAGAAGACTCTTAGGCATACTCTTCATCATTTTGCTTTGTGATCACAACCACTTTTTCCCCACTAGACAGGCAGGAAAAAAAGCCAACACAAAACTACCTGTCTTAGCTACTTTTCTTGGTGCTGAGATAAAATACCTGAAACCCAAAGTCAAAGGAAGAAAGGTTTATTTAGCTTACTCTTTGTACAGGTTTCAGTCTATAATTGGCTGGCTCCAAGTCAGGTGACACATGGCAGAGGCGCAACAGTTCATGGCAGAGGAAAACAGCAAAAGCAACAAGCAAGTGCAAGACAAGCCTCTTTCTGTCCCTTATATTGTATCCAGTCTATTGAGATTAGGGCAGTGTTAACCAATCAGTGGATTGATCCAGCAATCACCCTAAATCCCAGGACCCTTAATCTCAGCATTGCAATGCCCATCAACCACACACTCTAGATTCAGCCACCTCCAAAAAAATACTATGACAACATGAGGCTTTGGGGGGACAGCCAGACACAAACCATAACACTGCCCAACCACAGAGACCTCTGCACCAGCCTAAAGAGTCCCCAAAAATGCTTTAGCACCAGACTTGGCAATACGTCATTATTTACGAGGTCAGTGCTGTTCATGCTAATGCCTGTGTCTACCAAAGTCAGGATACATTCCTGAGGGTCACAGCTGATGTCAATTTTCAGCTCTTTACCACTGTCCCATTTACAAGGGCTTTTTAGACTGTTTACCGAGAATCTTACCATAGGCATCAGAAGCAGTAAAGATGAATTCCTGAAGGAAAAGTTCATTGTTGGAGTAGATATTAATGATGAGACATGAGCTGAAAATTCTGTCTGAAAGACAGAAGTCTCTACCTCTTCCTCTGCATTGTGCATTTCCTCAGGTGTCTTGAAGGGAAAAGGCAGCAAATACTAGAGGGCGGAGTGAGCCCAGACTCTGTACAATTTGCGTGTAGCACAGGAGGGGTGACTCAATATATAATTACTTTTTAGTTAATGTAATCTTTCCCCCAGCCACTGTTTAAGGCAGTTAATTTAATTTTTGTGACCAGGATTGAAAAGAGTATCACAGGATACATCTTATTGTATCTTTCCTGAAACTTATTTGAAAAACACATGTATGTATACATATTTATTTGTGCATATTCATGTACATAACTACATATATGAAACCACACATATATAAGTAAAACATGTTTCTTACAATGAGCCAAGGTCAGCAACTATGATAACTGCTATTCTAAGTTTTATCTATAGTACTTATATTTAAATTCTCTTTGTACCCTGAAATACATCCTATTTACTAGGTCTCACGGATACCTAGTAAAATAAATAAAGTTAATTATAATTAACTGTATAATTTCAATATAGTTTTTGGTCCTTATAATTCCCATCTGTTTTTTAATTTAAAACGTTTAGGCCAAAAATGTCTTATTTTAACAAGAATTTCTAATATTATTAAATTATATTTCACAAAGAGAAACTGATCAATTACTATATTTAACTGTTCAAGTCTGTATTATTAAAATTAAAAATTTCCTGTTATTCTTTTGTCAGAAAATGACTGTGTGCATTTTAACCAAATTTCATGGCGATGTATGGAATGATCTAACCTACAGTGAATTGGCATATAATAAAATCTGACTTTGCTGTAAAGGAAAAACACACTTTGTAGAGTTGTGAAGTATGTCAAAGCATCTAACACTTTAATGAAGATATACAACCTGTAAGAATTAAGGCACTTATTAAGTCAAGAAAAAGTAAAGAAATATAAATTCTTCCCATAGGGGTAACTTTATGTATCTTAAATCAGATACTAATTTATTTATTTAACACTGGCTAAGTGTTTTCCTGACAATTTATTAATAATTAATAACCCATTCCCAACTTTTAAACATACTAAACTTCTAAAGTGTCAAAGTTTTTGCTCTCATTACTGATATAAAACTGTAATGTGAATATGAAGGATTTTATTAAAATCCTACAGTAAATTAAGATATATGTAATATACTAAGTTGCAGAAACACTGAGAGTAGGAAATAGTTTTCCATATTCTCTAAGTCTGGACCAAAAAAAGACAATCATAGCTAAAAGAGTAAGGTAACAGAATGGTATTTATTTATTGTCTACACACAAAGAAGGTATTTCCTAAAGAGGCCAATGTAAATTTTATAGTCACCTAACATGAAAATCCTATTATAATATTAATTTCAATAAACAAGTGTAAATAAATAAGTGTATTTGATAATCTAATAACTGATGCATTTGTAAAAAGCATTACTCAAAAAAATCTGACATAAAACTTTACTGTGATAAATATGGATATCTTATAACAGTCATAATTATAGAAACCAGTGTCAAACATTTCCCAGAAACTAAAATGGGTCCTCCATCTAATTATGGACCAAGCTGTTCAAGCAGTTAAGACCTTAGCTAACAACTGGGGAAAAGATATAGCAGTAAAACATATTCTTCAGGTATTTGAGCAGTTTACATTATATTATTGTTTTTATATTTTAGAAATACACTAGAAGCATATACATTTGCAAGAAATAAAGTGCAAACAATAATTTCAGTAATATAAAATATCAATTTTATTTATGACATTTGAAATTATGTTAGTCTTACCTCTGAACTATAATCATCTGCTGTGGTTGAAATTTCACTTTCCGGCTAAAACAAAAGTAAAAACCAATTACAATTACGTTTTTCCTGCTAAACAACATCCTTTAGTAATATTAAGATATTACTGTTATTAGTTTATGATAGAAACCTCTGATAATATACCACTAAAAGATTAGTAAAATGACCTTTAAAATTTTCACTTAATTATGAATTACAATTACTTTATTACAAATAAAGCATATGAAATTTATTAGCAGACGTTTTTCTAAATATAAAGGTACCAAGAACAACTTTCACACAGGATCTTGTGTACAGTTCCTATCATCTGTATGCCCAAAACACCAAAAAAGACACCATTCCTCTAATTCTTGTATAAATAGTCATTAAAATGCTGTCAGAAAAACTTCAATTTCTTCAAAAGAACCATTAGATCTTGATGCCAAAACGTACTAACTTGTAAAGAACATAAAAACCTTTGTTGTAAGAACACTTTTTCAGCTCACGAAGTACTCTGAAAGATAATCTTGGTTTACCATCATATCCCGGAATTTGTGAATGAATCAGCAGCTTTTCCAAGTGTTCCTCAGCTGGGAAGTAGTAGATAGAGTCAAGAAAAGAATTCTAATTCCTTTCGCTTTCAAAATTATTGCTTTCATTGTTCACGGGATCTAATCTAAAAATCTCACTTTACCGGTAAGGAAAATAAGACCAGAGAATTTTCCTCTTTCATTCAACAAGTATTAACTGTCACTGCCTATTCTCATTTACACCTATGGAAGTGTCATTCAACATTCAAGTTAAGTTCCGAGTCTGCTTCTCTATGAAGTAACAGAACAAAAACTACTGGTGGAACAGAAACAAGCTTGCCTCTATTCCAAAATCCTGTAACAGTGGCTAGCTCATGCGGCTCTTTTAAACCTAAAAACTTTTCATGACACAATCCCCACATGAAATGATTAAGTGTAGTAGAAATTGTGCTACAGAGAATAAAACGGTTAACAAAACAGTTGTTGCATTCCAAGTGCTAACCCTACACTGAAGAATCCCAAATACTGGTTTTCTATGCAGTAGAAAGTAATGTACCTTCAAACCACATCACATATCAGAGCCGCCAAGTAGCTTTATTTAAAATGTCCAGGTAAAAACCACCACGCCATACACACAGAAAAGGAATATGTAGCCTGTACACAAGAAAAACAGTGGTCAACAGAAACTGTCCCTGAGGAAACGCAAATTGAAATCAATAGACACAGACTTAAAATCAGCTCTTTTAAATACTGTACTGTACAGTCAAGTAACTAAAGGAAATAATGTCTACAAAAACTGAAGAAAACTGTTAAGAACTATGCCACACTAAGCAGAGAAGAACAATAAGAGAAAATAATTATAAAAAGAACCAAAGAAAAGTTCTGGAATTGCTCAGAAAAATAACAAATGAAAAAAAAAAAAAAAGACAAATAAAAAAATCATTAGAAGGGCTAACAATCTAATGATTTGAACAGGAAGAATCAGTGAACCTCAAGTGGGAACAACTAAAGTGAACTTGTCTGAACACTAGAGAGAAAAATGTACATGAAGCCATGAAAAAATTCAGTATTTAAAAAGACTGAAATCATGTTTTCTAACATCTTCTACTCATGATAACAGTTTTTATGGTAGTCATCAATAGATACAGAAAAAGCATTTAACAAAATTCAATAAAGGAATATATATACCGAGAAAAAAAACTTAATCTAATAAAGAGAAATAAATGTATATACATATATAATATACATTAATATATGAGTTAATATAATACTCAAGGTAGAGTGAATGCTTCTCCCTAATATGGGAAACGATACAAGGATGTCTATTGTCATCACTTTTTTTCTGGTATGGGGAACCAAACCCAGGACCTTGTGCTTGCCAAGCAGGCGCTTTCATCACTTCTTTTCAATACTGTACTGGAGGTTCCAGCAATGTCAATTAGGTAGGGGGGAAAAAAAAAAAGACATCAAGACTAGAAAGGAAGAAGTTAAACATCTCTAATGCAAGTGACTTGGATTTTGTATACAGGAAAAAAATCTAAAGGATGCATGAAAAAGCAAGCTAATGTATGCATTCAGTAAGAGTGCAGGATGTAAGAACAATATATAAACATTACTTGTATATGTATACGAGCATGAATAGAGATATTCCTCATTTAACAACCTGTTTAACAACTGTTTGGACTTATGACCTAGGTGCACTGTTTAGACTTACAACCTCTTTTTTTTTGTACAGTATATCTTGTTTATATAGTATTGTAATTTTTGTTAATTGTATATTCAGTACTGTAGATTTATGTTGTTATACATTACAGTACCTCATATGAGTTATGCAAATAAAAGCAAAGTCATCAAGCTGCAGTTTCCTTTGACCATTTCTTTGTCCTGAATATTGTAATGTACATATTACATACAGTTCCTCATGTAGTGATCAATACATTAAAAAACCTGGTTGCAGGAACTTAACTTGGTCATTAAAGAAGGAATTTCTGTAATCAAAAAATGAACATAAAATAATCTACAACCAGGTGTGATGGCGCATGCCTGTAATATCAGTACTTGGGAGGCTGAGGCAGGAGGACTGCTGTGAGTGTGAGGCCAGCCTGGGTCACAAAGTGAGTTCAAGGACAGCCTGAATTGCATAGCAAAATCCTGTCTCAAAAAAGCCAAAACAAAGAAGAAAATAATTTACAATAGGCACAAAAACAAAAAAAAAATGCTCAGAAATAAAATAGCAATAAAATCTTGGGATTAAATTTAACAAAATAAGTACAAGATTTATACACTGAAAACTACAAAATAAAATTGAGAGAAATTAAAGATGGCCTAAATAAATTAAAAAACATCTTGTGTTCACAGATTGGAAGACAAGAGTAAGATAACACTATTCCCCAAATCCATCTACATATTCAACACAATTCCTGTCAAAGTCCCTGCTGCCAACTGTATGCCACCCACTTGCAGTCCCAACTACCCATAAGGGTAAGGCAGGAGGACTGTTTGAGTCCAGGAGTTTGAGGTCAGTCTAGGAGGCATAGCAAGACAAGACAAACAAACCAAACCAATCCCTGCTGCCTTTTATGGCAAAATGGAAAACTTGATAGTAAAATTGATACAAAAACGCAAAGGACCCAGAATATCCTGAACAATCCTGAAAAAGCACAGAGTTGGAAGACGCACTGATTTTGAAATATGTTACAAAGTTAGTAACCAAGACTACTGCATACTAGCAAAGGCTAATTATAGAGATCTATAGCATCTAAGTGAGAAGCTAGAATAAACCCTTACTTTTACAGTAATTAACAATTCACTGATGAAAGAACAGTGTAGTCAACAGATGGTGGTGGGAAAACTGGATATCCATATGAGAAAGAACGAACCTGGACACGTATCTCCTAGCACATAGAGAAGTTAACTTCAGAACAGGATCACAGACCAAAATGGTAAGACCCAAAATTAAACAAATCTTCCAAGAAAACAGGTTTAAAACCTTTATGACACTGGAGTTAACAACATTACAATATTAGACATGACACCAAAAGTACACACAATTAAAAAAATAAAGTTAAATTGCACTTTATGAAAACTGAAAACGTTGTGCATCAAAGGACAGTACCAAGAAAGTGAAAAAGCATAAAATGAGAGAATATCTGCAAATTGTGTACCTGAGAAATTAGGTGATTTTCACTATTTACTGATTCCGTACTTGTGAATTCACCTCCTTAACAAAATGTGTTTGGAACCTCGAAATCAACACTTGCCGCACACACAGTCATCGTGCGCGGGGGCAGAGCAATGAAAGTGAGATTCATCCAATGAGATGCTCCTGCATGAGGTAAACCCAGGCAACATTTTGCCTTCTTGGTTCAACTCTCAAAATGTCAACCAGGGGGTACTGTGATACTCCTACTCTTTTAGAGTAACTGTCTATCTCCTCTATTTTCTATCCTTTTCCACATAAACAGTCTTCCTTTATTTAAAGAAAAAAAAAAAACATGTAAACGAGTGTCCTTTTATAGTCTATTTATTTATTTATTTATTTTCCTGGTACCAGGAGTCGAACTCATGACCTCGCACTTGCCAGGCAGGCGCTGTGCCCCTGAGCTAAATCCCCAGCCCCTCATAGTCTATTTAGTACCACCTTTTTCACATTTTTATACTTTTTATTGGCAATTTCAAGTAGCCCCTACAAGACTGAAATGTCATCCAGTTTTTAAAAAGAGTAGGAAAGGTTGTAATGTGCCTTATACAGAAAATATGTGTTAGGCTTTGTCTGGAATGAACAGTAGCTTATGTATTATGTTTCTGTTTCAAGGTCCCTACTGTTGATTCATAAACACCTGAATTGTTGATTAATCAATTATATACTAATAAGTGAACAATATATAAATTTACATATTAACATTGAACTATGGTTATGAGTCAACAGTATATGCTAAATAGAGACCATGAAACAGAAAACACATAAAACAAGATTATACGTCCAATGGGTGACCAACTGTTTAGATCAGTGGCTTACAAAAACCTAACCCTGTATTTCCCCTACAAGAAATGGCTCAATATTTACTAATTCAGCATTAGTAGCAACTTTAAAGAACACAACTGTGACAGATGATAGGGACTGCCTCTACTTGAAGAATACATAATTGTTACACAGCACGTATGGTTTCTTGGGTTCCAGGCTGTTCTTTCCACATTCTCCCTCCTGTGAAAGGATCTCTTGAACAAAGCACCGATCCTTATATACCAAAATCCTGCTGTTTCTACATAAATATACCATGGCACAATCAAAAGAATCACCATTTGTTCTGTCCAACACTCTTCCTCCTAAGCAATCTATTCTCTGTTCCTGGTCTCAGTCCAACCATCCCAATCTATCCACAGTTTCTCCGAGATCTCGTTCCTAGTAAATTACCCCATTAAGTGGAGTAAAGGGTAGTGAAGGGAGTTAACATTCACTGAGTACCCACTATGGGCTCATGGGCAGGTATAATCTCCAGACCCTCACCACTATCACCACCCTATCCCATCACTGTGTAATCCATTTAAAACCAAACTACAGTTATCAGGTCACAAACTACAGTTATCAGTTTTCTCTGGCAAATACTGTTTTTTCTGCACAGGGACTGTTTCCCCCATGTGTCTGGCCTCAAGCTAATTCCAACTCAGACTTCCAAGGCTCATCTTCTATTACTTCTTCCAAGGAACTTTTACTGATGACACAGACAAAGCTGAGTTGAGCATTCTCTGCACTCCACAGTACCATGTGGATTGCTGATATCATAGCTCTAACCAGATGGAGCATACTGTGTATCTTACTGCCTTCCCCACTCATTTTTTTAAAGGCAAAGACTGTCATACTCATCAATATATTGTTGGTGCTCAATGCGTGGTGTATTGCAGTTGCTCAAAAATGTTTATAGAATGAAGCTTGCGAAAGCTTCATTCTAAAGAGAGATTACTAAATATTTTAGGTCTGTTTAGTTACTATAGTACTGATGTTTGCAGATACAAAAATTATGATCAAATTGCATGAGGTGCTAGTAACTATTTTCCATTTAGAATTTTAACGTGTAGAAATCTGCATGCATACTTACTTCAACAGAGAAGACCTGGTCACGCTTGATTACTTCTCCACTGTGCAGAGTTCTCTTTCCTGTTGATTCAGGAGTCAAGACTGATCCTACTCCCTGAGAACTATTTATGTACATCTCCTCACTCTGCGATTGATCAGTATTCAAACTGTGCACATCATGTTTACTGCTTGAGGTTTTTTTCTTTTTTTTCTGCTTCTTGGGAGGATTCTGCCCATCAGATTGAGCTTTTCTTTGACGAAACTGGGCGAGCTACAGGAAATAAAACACAACACAACACTTCCTTTTTAAAAAGACAAGGCCAATCTCAGATTCACAGCCTTCAACAACTGTATATATCCGGCTTGAATTTTAATAACATTATACTTACAGGTATAGGTAAATGATGGAAAACTATTAAGATAACAATTTTGGTGCATTTCTAGATTTGGGATTACAGGTTTTTTTTTTTCTTTTTCTCATTTAAATTTCCTTTTCTGATACAATTAATTTTATAATTTTATACGAAACAAACACTACCAATGAATTTCTAAATTTAATTTGAGCTATTATAATCATACTAAAAGAAGATAAAATATAAGACCAGCTATAAATTCCTCTATGCCTTAAAAAAAGGAAATACTAGACCTATTAATTAGCCCCACGAAAGATGGCCAATAAAATTTTTATTATACAGAGTATTAAAGTGATCTTGTTAATAATGGTAATGTTAACTATCAAAACAGGCCACAAGCATGCTGTCTACTAAATAACATACAGTATAATTTATACTTACCCACTATAGATGAAAAATATATAGAAATGTCCTATTTACTTAGAAGATATTTAACTCATATCATTATTAGCTCATTGTTAGCCTTACAGAATATAGAAACGAGTAACACTTACATTTTTTCCTAATTATTTAGCAACTACCCTGTTATTCCAACTCATGTCTGCTTGAGAAACAGGTGCAAGAACAGTTGTGTCTAGCTGTGTATTATTAAGCTGTTGGAATGCACTTAAAACTACTTTGAAGAATAACAGATCCATTCTTAAAAATATACTAACTGGACTACTAGTAAATATATTATCTGTAAATAGAATCAGAGGTCCAGGCATTAAAAAAAAAAGCTTAAAAAAAATCTCTGAGAGAGAATGCAATGCCAAAAAAATTCATAATAATGACACAATGTTTACATCCAATTTCAGAAACTTCTTCAAATATGTTGTCTGCATTAGAATATGTTTAAACAAGAGTATATCAAAGCAAAGACTACAATTTTGTTTAAAATTCAAAATTGTCGTTATATATATTTTATATTTATTCAATGGGTAACTACATAACCAATGAGTAAAACTAAAACTCTGCATAATAAAACATTTCTTTAAAAAAAGGACTCAGACACTATCCATGACTAAATGAACCTAGTAAATAAAGACAGTACAAAGGGAATGGAAAGTAGAATAGCTCTATTATAGTATTTAAAATAAACCACATCTAAAGATAAAATTATAAAAACATTGTTTTATGTCTAGATTGAATATATGAAGTAGTATTTTTTTAAACAAAGTAAGCTCCATGGTGGCAAAGACTTTTGTTCACTTCTATATATTCAAGCCTAGAACAAAACTCAATAAATATATGTTGCACAAAAAAGAGTAATTTATCTTTTACAGAGAAGTTACTGTACAGCAACAGTTTTAAGTAGCTCCACAAAACCTGAGAACTAAGATAATAAAGAGATATGTCTAATTCTACTTCATAAAAAGGGTCCATGATTTCAAAATTAAAATTAATCATTATCAGCCGGATGAGGCGGTGCACGCTGGTAATCCCAGCACTGGAGAGGCTGAGGCAAGAGAACTGCCACAAGTTCACGGCCAGCCTATGTTACACATTGAGCTTCAGGGCAGCCTGAACTACACAGTAAGACCTTGTCTCAAAAGACAAAAAAGAGAAAAAATTAAAAATTAATCATTATCTACTTATTAAATAAATGAAAACATTAATCTCTCTTACTATAGTCTCCCTCCTCTACCAAGAAAAACACAGACAAAACTTAAGTTCTCAGGAAAATTGTATCACAACAGGTTTCTGTTAGATAAAAATGTGAAGGAAGGAACAGACCGTATCACATATTCTATTTCTTATAGCTATTAAGTCAGTTTTATTTTAAATCTGAAAAATGGCAAGCTAGTAAATAAGCAAAAAACTCAATTAGATAACCATCTGACTCTGAAATGCTACACTTTAAATTACTGAGGAAACATTTATTCTAAAACATGCTGAAAATTCAGACTACAGCCATCTGTGTTTGTCATTTGGAAGCCAATTATAAAAATGTTAACATATGTAGTGACAGAAATAGTTGCAAGAATTACTGGAAAGACAGTATGGCCATATACATTTGTCTTTCAAAATTGGTTCAGATCCCAAGCAAATATCCTACCTTGACAAGATGATGAATAAATGACCAGTCATAAATAATAATTTATTCCTTAAACTCAAGATTTGAATGCTGTAAATGATCATTTTAATAAATGAATTTTCAAAATGTATGAAAACATGCCAAGTTTTTATAATGCCCCTTTAAAAAATGACTAATTGAAATCTGTGTAGGTTTTTGCATACTTGCTGAGTGTTTACAATGCGCCAGGCACTGTACTAGCCATGAGTCAGAATATATCATCCCAACAGAAGGACTTTCCAGTCTATACCAAATTGTAATTTCACCAATTGTGAGAAGTAAAAGTGAACAGTTAGAGCACAATTTCTTAAACTCAGTCATTCAATGTATATGGAGGTGGCACAGAAACCTGCCTTGTGCTGATTTTCTCAAAGGTTTTCCCAAAGAGATGTGGTTGCACGGTTTTATCTCTATGGAGGATTCAATTTAGCATATGTCAGGTAGTAAGTAGGCAGTTCATTTATTCAATGAACATTTATCAACTGTCCACAATGTGTCCAAGGTGTATGCTAAGATAGGGCATACAATATGAACACAACAGATGCAAACACAACTCCCATGAACTATTATCAGGTCGGAAAATCAAAAAAGTGAAACAGAACAGTTAAACACAAATATCTAATTTCTAGTGATAAAAAGTGTTTTTTTTTTTTTTTTTTTTTTAAAGCACAAGCACTAAGATAGCCCACAACAGAAACAGCCCACAACAATTTGGATAGAGATATGAGAAAATATTAGAAAACATTTATTGAGAAAAGAATAATACAAACTACCTGCCCAAAATCATAATCAGTACATATCAAAAACAGAATATGCAACTTTCCATTGTACCAATTTGTTTCCCGAGTACTCTCACTCTTTTCCTTTGTCATTATATATCACAATCCTAGAACACTAACTTCAAAGATATGAGTACATGAAATCACCAAACTGACCCAGTATTTTTCTGAATCTAGAGGAAAAATGAACACAACAGCACACAACCCACAAAGAGAGTATTACAAAATATTTCAAATGTGTAATCTAGTCTCTGTAGTGCTCAAAAATAGCTACGAAGAGTGATTTTGTTTTTGATGTAGACAATTGAAGAAATCCTAAGGAATTCTAATTATGGTGGCTACTGTACTTGCCAATGCTGCTTTTAAACCTTTTAAAATATCCCTTAATGAATGATAACTGCTGTACAAACTGTTCAACAAAAATTTGGTGGCCTAACTGTGGAAACAAAAAGAAAATTACAACAATTGCTTTAAGAGACCATTTGGATACATAGCTCAAATAGGGTAACTAAAGACAAAGAAAACAGAAGCAATAATTTTAAGGACAATTTGAAGTATATTTTCCAACAATATCAAAAATGTATAAAATCAGGCCTAGAGGCACACCTGTAGTCCCAGCTACTCAGGTGGCTGAGATGGGAGGCTCATTTGAGCACAGGAGTCTGAGGTCACCCTGGACAACACAGTAAGACCTTAACCTTTCCTCAGTTAAAAAAAAAAAAAAAATCTGCTGATAAATAATAGTGCCATACAGACTTAAGGAAATCAAGAATAGAAAAGACCACAAGACTTTACATTATCGAGCCACTGAATCAATTTCTATCATACACTGTCATCCAATGCAATGTTTTTTGTTTTCATGTTTTAGACAAAGGGCTTAGAACACGCTCAATGTCTAGGAAGAAAACAGATTCTGTAACTGAAAGAATTCTCATAATTTTGTACCTTTGTTGTATTTATTGTCTGGGCATACAATAGACACAAATACTTGTTGAATTTCAAAAAGAATACAATAGAGTACTGGACTGTTATGTCTACAGAGACTAACAAATAGGTTTTATAACACTAGACAAACCATTTAGCCTTGACAGAACTTAGTTTGTTCAAAGGTACAATGAAGACATATTATTATATACTAGAAGGAGCTTTTAAGATTTTTTTCCACTTGAAATTTTTTAATTGTCTCTTATCCTTTCTCCTCTTTCTATCCTCAATTATAAGGGAAAAAAAAAACTAGCATTCTCCTTTATGAAAAGCTGTAAACTGTTGCTTTAAAAAAACAAGTTAATGTGTCCATTACTAAATGAGTCTAGACTTTTTTTTAAGATAAGGTCCTGCAGTGTAGCCCAGGCTGGCCTTGAACTCACATTCTTTCTGCCTCAGCCACCTCAGTGCTGGGATTAAAGGCATACACTCTATCATACCAGCTCTAAATGTTTCCAAACGAAAAACGGATGACAGATGTAGAATAAAAAATGAAATGACTTATAATGAAATAATATAGGCAAATTATGTTTAAGTACACAGTACTGTCAAAACATTTTAGTATCATGTTAATGATTGTATGAAGTCTTATTACTTCAGAACAAATAATTGGCAAATAATCTCCAGTAAGATATGGATTTTTAATCAAAATAAAAAATTATATACTCTAAACCTAGAACAATAACTATACATAGGTGCTCAATAAATATTTGTTGAGGGCTGGGGATTTAGCTCAGCAGCAAAGCGCCTGCCTGGCAAGCGCAAGGTCATGAGTTCGGTTCCCGGTACTGGAGAAAAACCAAAAAAAAAAAAAAAAAAAAAATTTGTTGAGTAACAAAAAACATTTTCACGGAGAAGGGCCATTATTAAGTAGTAACTTTAGGTACTATTCCTCAGAACTTCAGAATACTTAATACAGTTTCTTAAAAAAAAAAAACAACTAAGATCATATATCAGGTTCATGGTTATATTACTGAACAACCATGCAATCTAATATTATGTATCTGTCAAAAGATGGTTAAAATTTTTTTAATGTGGG